CCTGTATTTTCGCTCAACAACCCCGTTGGAGCAGATGTCTTCAGATTATCACTGAATTATGGAACTGAATTTACATACTGAATATTACTCTTATTTCTTATATACAGACATAATTGATCTTATAATAAATATTCGACTCATTTCTATATTTATTATCATAGAATCCGACAATAAAATGCGATAAAAACTTAAAACACGACACATAACAAATTACAAAACATAAAGCTGAATAAACTCACAATTCCTAAAATAGAAACATTGACTTTTGTTTGACCCAACGCTCTTGACTCATACATTAAACGACACAAAACAGTCATTTGATTGCCTTCTTGTTTCTCAATCAAGATACTTTTCAAAATCTACTCTGAACAAAGGTTTTTATGTATTGCTAGCTCTCTCGATCATTCCGTATTTCCAAGGTCAGCATCCTCAGATCCAGGGAATGTGTTAAAGGAACACTGAGCAACCATATGACCTGGTTGGTGGCATATAAAACAACATACCTTGGGACTACTACTCCCCCTCATATAAAGCTTTTGTCCTCGTTTCTGAGCATATGAGTTGTATCTTTGCTGTCCTCTATCCTGAGCATCTGGGTTATATCTGTTTTCTTCTCTCATTGTTTGACCCGTGAAATTCCTTTTATCCCAATTTCTGGTCCAGTGAATGTCAGACCCCAATTTGTAATCCTCAGCTAGAAAGACAGGTTCCTGCTTTACCATTTCCTCCATAGGAGTACTTTTAAAAGGTAGACTAGAGTGATTCTCATTCCTTGTGAATCCATCTCCAAACGTCCTTTTTAACTGTTCTTGCATCAAGTCATAGGATAATGTACTAGTGCAAGTTGCTCTAACTAATCTCGCCTGTTCATCACTTAGGCTTGCCTGATTTAATAGTCTATACGCTAATACCACGTCATCGTAAAGATCTTCGTTCTTTCTGAGCTGTTTGAGAATTTTATACCTCCTCTGGAATTCCAAGATGTAGTTGTCTATATCTTCTCCATCTCCTCTCCTGTATCCCTCAAAATCATCTATTGCCTTAAATAAAGACTGAGTACTGTCCTTCTTATACAGTTTGTCCAGTTCGGCAATGAGTTTATCAACTCCATCTTCTGCTCCTAGCACCTTTAATGTCATGTTTATAGAAACCTCCTGTGGTCTACCTTTCATGTTCATAATCAGCTTACTAGCTTGCTGTTTCGTTGATGCTGCGGTGCCAAGCTGCCATATTAGCACTTTCTTCTTCCATGTGCTGTAGTCAGCGCTGTCGTCTAAAACTGGTATCTCACGAAGACTCATAGTTATAGTTCAACTAAAAAAAAACAACTCTAAAACTGTCTCTCAAATTAGTCTCTAAAATGTAGTCTAAATAACACACAAACAAAGTGCCACTGTCAGGTCGTTGCGTAGAACGTTTTCCGACTTCCTGCTATCACTGTTAGATGGCCTCTAGTTGAACAATAAAATCCGTATTTGTCGTATGTACAAAACCTGTAATACAAAATACTTTATTACATAATAGAATAACTTTACCACCAAATTAAACCAATTCCAAATAAATACCTAATAACTAAACATTATAAATACTTACCGATTGGACGGTAGTGTGCTGCCAATGTTCCACTCCTCCCCAGTCCAATCGGTTATCCTTCTTTGCTTGTCATTGCTAGAAAAGGTAAACACGGTTAGAAGTATTCTGTCACGAAAGAGAGAGAAATCACCCCCCATGACGTAGGGTAAAAATGCTTACCTGAAGAGTTATGGGCAAAAAAACTGTTTTGGTCACGTGACAGGCTAGTTAAACACAAATTCAATTGTTTCGGACTCGGGTTAGGGTTAGGGTTGTGATTAGGGTTATGAATAGCTTTGGGGTTATGGTTAGGGTTAGGGTTGGGATTAGGGTGTATGTAAAACCGTTTTGTTCGGCTGCAAAACCTTACTTGAGGACCCCAGACTTTAATGTTGGTAAACAACATTAAATAGAATAGAGATTAGGCGGAATGACAGGCTGAGCGCGGCCCAGTAAGCAAAACCATAAAAACCATGAAGTCACGTGAAAATTTGGGCGAGCGAATTAGTAAGAGCCCAATAAATGTGAAACAATTGTTAAATGTTAAAGATATTTTTAATTCAACGTAATTTTAATAAAAATATAAAAATATTTTATGAATATTTGCAATGATCTTATGTTACATTTGTCATACGTTGTCTGAATCGCCGCGCACGAGTGCGCGGCTCCCCCTGTATCGTCGAAACTCTACAGGGGTGAAGACAGTGGGGGTCACTTGTATCACGTTGCGACCCCCACGGTCGTTTCACTACCCTTTATCGTCCTGACGATACGAGGGGAGCCGCGCACTTCGTGCGCGTTGGGTCATACAACGTATGACAAGGGGTCACCACGTGATACAATGTAATATCATGTCATGTTTTGATTTGATTTAATTAACCTGGGAACCCTTTCCCAAGTTATACTATAATGTTCATAAAGATGAAAGAAATTTGGCAGAATGAACATGAATGCATGATGGTTGTTTGTACACTGTACAACCGCCCACGTGCAAATCAGACGAGAAATATGAAGTTGCGTAGTTACCATGGTATGGTAACGCATAACGAGGGTTACTACACGCACGTGCACGTGCAATGATTTAACGTTCTTGTAAACCTTGTAAAGCTACTAATTGTTTTAACGTCATTTTGATCGGTTTTGTTGATATTACGCTGTGTTTAGTACAAACAACATTTTAATTGGCTGTATCTTCGGTTATGTACTATGTAGGACATTTTTGACGCGATTTAAACTTACTAACAAAAAAATACTATTAGCTTCCTCCCTGTGACCGGCCACGGGTTTTCTAGTTTCTTTATAAAACAGGAAACCATTGTCAGCCTTATTATATAAAGGTCATATTTTCCTTATAAAACGGGAAACCATTGTCAGATGAATTACGATCAGCGTGCTAAATCACTCTACAGTCGATTTTCGAGATTGTTCTAAAAGGGCCCCGACAGTTGAAACCAACTTCCATCGATGTATTTTCGGACGCTAATTCCGAATCACCCCCATGACAAAGGGTTAAAATGCTCCCCTGACGAAATATTGACGAAAAACTGTCTCGATCACGTGATATGACCGTAAAAGGAATTTAGTTTAATTTCTCGTTAGGGTTAGGGTTTCAGCATATGCTTTTGTTAAGGGGGCAGGGGGGGGGGGGGGTTATTTATGAAATTTCTCTCGAAATTGATTTTATAGTTGTTTCTGATAGAGGGGAGTGATATCTACCAGATATTTTTGGTCCCATGGAAAAATTTTGTTCCTAGCCGAAATTATTTCCGGTCAAAGGTCAGTGCTCATGTGCAATTGTATTGCGTGAGCGATTTTCAATCGCGCGCCCTGAAAATCGAGTCTAAAAATCTATCTTCTCCTACATTTTTTGAGCAATCACCTTGAAACGTTCAGGATATGTTCTAAGGACCATTTAGAAACTTCTGGTCTATCACAATTTTAAAATAGGCCTTAGAAAAGTTTTTATTCGATTTTGAAAAACAACTATTGATAAGGGACATCTACTTAGGACGTCCACCAAAATCACGGATTTTTAGACCACCACCCTCCCCCTGTCCGGATGTGTCCGAATTTTCAAAACCTAAGCTGGTCTGGGGTCGTTTGCTGCTTGAAAAGGTTGGTGACTTACTGCTTACGTTGTGTAGGAGAAATTTTTATTTCAAAATTCAAATAAACTTTACATCAATGTATTACAGTTATATTCAATAGAAAAGACCACAATATCTCCTGTGAGGCAAAAACATGGAAAAAGAGAGCTAGAAAAATATTCATGAGACTCAACACTACCAGACTACAGCTGGAGTGAGAAACATTATGTAAACATCAAAGTAAAATTTATTTTGGCTGAACCAAAACACGGTGGTAAAACCATAATTACATTGGTGCCGACCCTACATAAAATCATTAATAAATAATCAAGAGAAATATATACGATACCTTCTTGCTACTACTCCAGTCTCCACAAACTTACAAGACATAACAATAAAATAACATAATTATATATTATAATATTATAATAGCAATCTATCTAGCCACTCACGTACGTACTGCGTGACGCGCTTATAACTTAGCTTGATCAGCAAATAACTTAGCTTGATCAGCAAACTCCATGAGTTTTAGTGCATATAATTCCCGGAAATAGTTATAAAATTTGTAATCGCAAAAAAGTTACAAGCAATACCTTTACAGCTGTGTTCCTATTAAAATATATAACCTGGTAAGTATAATTCGATGCCGTCTCCAAAATGAATCATTATTCCCATTAAGAGGAGTATGCAATCCTGCGTGGTCCACAAGACTTCAAGTTTTACATATTTGTCAATCAGATAAAGATTTTCCTTTGAATCTACCATGCTAGTTTGCTAAATGCTGCTTGAAAAGGTTGGTGACTTACTGCTTACGTTGTGTAGGAGAAATAACTTAGCTTGATCAGCACTAAATATGTCTAAACCAACTATTATGCAATTCAGCGGACCCAAATATTTTATTTGATTGAATATCCTGAGTACGTGAAGGTCGTCGTATTTCATCGATACAATCTAACTGTTCAGTATCAAAATCAATATCAAAAAACTAGATATAAAACATGTTCGTTCACATATTACGTAATCAATATTTTAGCAATTTTTACCCCACACTCTATAATCAACCGTAATCAAGACCCAACCCCACCCCTCCCAACAGCAAAATTACGTAATCATGGCCTGACCCCCCCCCCCCCCCCCCCCCCCCCCCTTTTTGACTTTTTCCCCTGAAAAACGGTTTTCTCTACGTTTAATGCTACCCTGATCATTATGAGCCGAAATGATTGTTATGATATCCGGCCAAGTACCTACCCAACTACTTACTTTAGCAGCCGGATACCCGATCCATTCCTAATTTTATCACATTGAGTGGAATTTGAATTATAATAATAACTTATAACAATTGACAGTGGAGTTATGGAATGTATCAATGAGAACGTGGTCTAGTTCTGGTCTAGATGAAGACTATTCTGATAGCCTGGTTCGTTGTTGCACATCATGTTGGGGCTGCACCATGCAAAGTTAAACTTTCTGTAAGTTGCTGGTCCAAGCTTAATCTACTTTAAATTGCTGAATAATGAATATCTGTCATATTTTTTCTGTAAATTTAATCATGAGTTGAGCTTGTTTAAATGAATGAAATGCAAACAAGGGAAACATAATAGGAAGATGTTTTATTCATTTTTGTTCAGGATTACAGTACCTCTATCATTACTGGAACATTAAGATGCCATGGTGACGATGGACCACAACATCTGCACAGAGTTCAGTTATCATTTGATATAGGTCAAAACTCAGAATCAGCTTATCTGCATCTTTATTCAAAGTAAGTTCTTAATTATTCTGTATGTACTTATTTTATAACCGAAACCAAAAATTGACAATTTGGGTAGAGTGTACTATCGCCTTTGTCTCCTTTTTCCAAACTAAAGGAAATGATATCAATTTAAATTACCGTTATCTACCCGAACGAAAAATGATACCGAAAATGGAATCATGGAATGAAAGAACATGCATCATGCAAGTATAGTATATAATATAAATTGGGTAGAGTGGACTGTCGCCGGTGTTCTCTTTTTTTCAAACAGAAGGGAACAATATCTATTGTCGAACAATATAAATTATCGTTAACGTACCCAAGCGTAAAATAATCCTGAATGGAATTGGTCGCTCGCTTTCCCCATTCATTCACAGCTGTTGATAGGAAGCAGAACTCGGCACTAACGATGTTTTAAAGTTACGACACTGACTGATAACAGCGCACTATTGTAGATAGCACCTTGTCTTCTCTAAGAATTTTGTCGTCCCTTATGATTTTATGCAATGGCACTTTTTTGGATCGACAGTAATTAATTCTTTCAGTTTCACGACAAGTTGCTTGTGAACTGCATACATACATCATACAATATTTCTAACAGTTGAAACAATCAAATAGGAGGTCAAACGATCCGTTTCATGTATACTGTATAGTAATAGAAAAATCAATACCAATCCTCAGTGCCAAATTAGAATAATGAATGTTGGTAAAATGATATGTTGCTACTTGCTCCTTTATCAAAACTTTTTATCGATCGTAATTATTGGACAAGTGGCGAGATATGAATATACATTATACATATTATTGTGCACGGAAATATGCTACTCAATAGATTATTTTTTCCCGATCCATGACTCAAAGTGCCGAAGGCACAAAAGAGTCAAGGACAAGGGTTAGCGATCGAGGTTTTTTTTTATATGGTAGCTTTGCGACCGTGCGTGCGTGCGTGCGTGCGTGCCCTCGCCCCCAGTCTAGTTATCGCCCACGTGTCTGCCTGCGCAAAGTTATTTTGCGCGATCATCTGAATTAAACAATTGTTGGCGCGCGGTGCTGAAATGTTCAAGTACATTGTTAATTTTACCATGTACGCATCCCGATAGGGACTAATTGATAGCATTGTATTATTATTTTGAGTTAGTATTACTATTTTGCACAGATCCGTGTCTAGTCAGGTTGCATAAACAATAAACATATAGTTACATAGAAATATACACGATTTTCAAATTCAATATAGAATTATATCAACTGGGCGGCGCTCGGCCTGTCACTCCGCCATATCTGCATGCTTATAAACAGCAAAGACTGGGGTCCCCAGGTGGTACTGGTATGGAATATGATAGAATACTTCATCCCGGATCGGGAAATTGAGCGGCCATCCACAAAAGAAAAGCGGCCGCATTTCTTGTTCACATGTAAGTTCTTCACAGCTAGAAAATAGAATCTATCGTCCAATATAGCACAATTAATCGTCCCTACAAGTGGAAGACTGGAATTTCACTGAAATCTACGCTAAAGTGTTGTAAAAGTAAGTCCAATCCGATTAAATTTTACATTTTAAACTTTAAGTCTAAATAAAACTATAAAACAAACAAAAAATTAACTGTCACACAATCCAGTGATTATCCGACTCTGGCTATTTTCGGAGTGGAGAACGGGGAGATAAAGACCTCCAAAATACTTGGTCAGAAAGAACCTGATGCTAAGACTATGGTACAACTTCAAGGGACAAACGAGTTCAAAGCGCTGCCCGCTCTGGCAGCACTACTGGGACACGATTACAACGTCACAGCTAAAACATGGCCGGTATCGATACTGCTGTTCAGAATGGCAATGAGCTCCGAGATGCTGCACAAAACTGAGGAGCAAGCTGACTTTTATCTCAATCAGAAGTACCCCTCAAGGGTACAGGTAATAGCTGTTTTGTGTAGGTTAATCAATTAAATTGATTTATTATTTAATATCGATAATTGAGTCGATCCAACTTTGTAAATGCCCGATTTTCTGTGCTAATCTAGAAACGTATCAGCTTTCTTTCGTTGATAATGACCAACTTAGTCAAGTCCGCAAATTTGAACCGGTTCGCGGTCGATAGGTTCAATGTTTGTTTTAATGACCCTAGAAATAATGAGATTTGAACAGATTATTTTTAAATATTTAACAAAGTATACTATACTGTACGTGTACTACTAGTTATTATTATTACTATTATCAGTACCATCAGCTAACGAAGAGGAGTCTGTCAGACAAGATCGTGAACTTTGAAAATATGGCAGGGAAGTTTGTCCGACAACTCAATCCTTGGACATTTGATCCCGATGACGAGGTTCCAATATTTCCAACTTTTTGTTGTTTTTCATCGAAAATCCCAGAATTTATTTGGCAAGTAAAAGAGTATGTTATGACATTTCAAATATATCTGCGAGCTGAAATTTTAGTATCAATCATGTACTTGATACTTCTAGATGTAACAACTGTAATAATGTTACATATCTATATATAACAACTGTTATAATGTTACACATATAGATGTAACAACTGTACCAATGTAACACATCTAGATGTAACAACTGTAACACATTTTATTAGATCCTGTGTGCTAGTCCGGACGGAATATGTGATTACAGGATAGAAACAAAGAACATTTCCTCTTGTTCCGGACTGGGACAGCCACTTCATCAAAATGATATCCAGGTATGTGCACATGCAGGTATGTGGGGTATGTACATTTTAACTGCTGACCCAAACTTTACAAACTTCTCAGTAAAAAAATACTATTCCCCCGAAGTATTGTTGAGACAGGCCTGGCTGTGTGATGTCTTTATACCATACAAGGTGTGGTTCCTTAGTTCACCCTTATTGATTGCTCTTATACTTGCTCTCTGTGTGGTTGTTGTGTGTGTGTGTGTGTGTGTGTGTGTGTGTGTGTGTGTGTGTGTGTGTGTGTGTGTGTGTGTGTGTGTGTGTGTGTGTGTGTGTGTGTGTGTGTGTGTGTGTGTGTGTGTGTGTGTGTGTGTGTGTGTGTGTGTGTGTGTGTGTGTGTGTGTGTGTGTGTGTGTGTGTGTGTGTGTGTGTGTGTGTGTGTGTGTGTGTGTGTGTGTGTGTGTGTGTGTGTGTGTGTGTGTGTGTGTGTGTGTGTGTGTGTGTGTGTGTGTGTGTGTGTGTGTGTGTGTGTGTGTGTGTGTGTGTGTGTGTGTGTGTGTGTGTGTGTGTGTGTGTGTGTGTGTGTGTGTGTGTGTGTGTGTGTGTGTGTGTGTGTGTGTGTGTGTGTGTGTGTGTGTGTGTGTGTGTGTGTGTGTGTGTGTGTGTGTGTGTGTGTGTGTGTGTGTGTGTGTGTGTGTGTGTGTGTGTGTGTGTGTGGAACAGAAAATCAGGGAATGTAAATGTTTTTTCTGCGATTTTTAACTCTGAGCGACTTGATGGCTCGGGCCATGTTCAGCGGAACATGTCTAATATATTGTTGTACGGGAATTTACAGTGCAGTGTCCAAGATTCAATTCATAATACCCATAATGACCACTAGTTAAACTATTAAGTGATTATGCGGTATAATCATTTCCTCCGCGAGCGTACCGCTACAATGTCTACTCAGTGACGTGCCTAGGATCACTGTGCAGGAGTGTTACGTAACCATGACCACACCCAGCGTTGATTCACAGAATAGCAGGCTAATGTGGAAATCACCCGCGCCCAGAAAGTTTCAAATTTCATCGCAGATCAATGTTTCCCAGGCCTAAAAATTGTATTAAATACCCTAAAAATAAAAAAGCGTCAGAGCTTCTAAAAATTTCCTCGCAGATTATCTGCCGTCTTTCTGGATGTGGGCGAGATCAACTGTTTGGAGAGGATTACTGAGACAATTTATATTTATTAGATATCCGTCCAAGGCCAGCTGATTATTGAATATTGGGCCTCAGCTATTCTTTACAGTTTAGACTCACAGGCATGCATAATCTTACTATATATAAAGCGAGACGATATATATATATATATATATATATCTGTGCCATTTTACTGACACCACGGCATCAACTTTAACGCGACTTTCCGCAAAAACCGTAAAAGATATACAACTGAAACTTTTTTGACTGGGTCAAATGCTTTTATGCTTTTCAAATCAGCATGAAAAAATAAAAAAATTGGCCAAGGAATAAGAGTTTTAGAGCCCAAAATTTGGACCCCCAAGTGGTGTGAAAACGCGAATTAAATAGGTAATAATTATTTTAGTCTCTTGAGTCTTGACACCATTTTAGGGTTATACGGGTTCCTGCTAGTCATGCTAATGCATCCATCATGATAATGCATCCATCATGATAATGCATTCAACAATAATTGCTCACTATTTGATCTCTGGTCATGTAATGATAATCATGTGATTTTAAGTTCTGATAAGTTATTGTGAGCGGATGTTGAGCAGTTCTCATTCGCCTCACTGAGCACGCCCAAAAATCGGCTCTTTTTATTTAAGAAAATGAGAGGGAAGTCTGCTGTAATACTGTTGAGTAAGGCTTAACCACGCTGCTGTGGATTTATTCAACAAGTAAAGCAATTCTAATAAAATATGCTAAAATGTAAAATTTTACAATATTATTTTGATGAAAGGTTTCCTAAGTTAGTTTAACCACAGTGAGGAGTTTTCTTTTAATCGCAGTTCCAGTGCTCGTGAACGCAGCTTCCATCTGGGCACTTCTTGAAACCCTCCTGGCATCCTGAAATACAGCCATGTTGAAATCATGAAAAAACCGTACTGTTCATTTGCAATACTGATCCTTATCATGCACTTAATCAAATACATTCTACAAAACGTTCTAAGATTAGCAGAAAACAGTGCTTCTATTTGCACAAATAACGAATCGCAGCTAGAAAAAAGTTATAATATTACCTCCATCGTTATCATCATCTCCACCATCGTCCTTGTCACACTTTCCACAAGTCTTCCTGCAGAGTCGGGACATGAAGTTAACAAACTCCCCTCCGTCACAGTATCCCTTACCCTTCCACTCAGCGCACTTCAATCCCACGTCAACACATTCTGAAATGGTTTCTTTAGTCAGCTGAGTCTTTAGTGTAACTTCAGATGTGCCCAAACAGTTATCCTAACAAAGATAAAAACAGACGAATCCTGCCCCCCCCCCCCCCCCCCCCCCCCCCCCCCTCCCCTTCCCCATTCACCGAGATCCATGAATAAGGTTTGCTGCTGAGCAGGTACTTACCACACTGTTTGCAAGACTTCCTGCAGTTGTCAGTCATATACCTCCAGTTCTCAGTGCATTCGGACGGGTCTCTAGCAGCCCACTCTGCACATCTGGCATTCTTATCAACCGCCACACACGTGCCTCCTGAATTGAAATACTTCGTGTTATACACAGTACACAGTACACAGTACACAGTACACATGTACAGATATAATACCATGATATTATAATACAGGCTAATAAAACCGGGCTAAGCGTTTATTAATGAGCTATGCTGCTCAAGGTCGACAGAGCGCAGCATATCACCATAACTATATATAGCACTGGCATGACGTTACAATTGTTACGTATCAATAATATATCAGTCACGTGGTTAGTAAAACACTGTAACAGTCGTACCGTTATCATCACCACCGTCATCACCTCCCTCATCTTGTCCCGGATCAGTCTTACCAGTGGCGGACAAAGTGGGGATCAGTCCCTGCAAACAGATAACAAGGTTAGAGTGGCAGGAACAAGTGTGGGTCGTGATGAAAGAAGCCGAGATTTTCTCTTATAATAAAGGGGACTGCTAATTAATCTAGCTAACCTGGTTGGTGATACCACAAACGTTTCCTCGTCCAATCCTAAAGTATCCTTTCTCTCCGAAGCTGGCTCCCCATGAGTTCTTCATGATGAAGTAGTCGGGAGCGTATCCGACATTGGTTACAGCATGACCACCTCCACTGCAGCTCCTCTCATTGTAGACTCCTCTGAGGAGAAGAAGATGGGTTAGTTCGTCATGGAGGTGGTTCAAGTTTGGGTGGTTATTTCTAACCGTTCATCAAAGAAGTGCAAGTGGGTAAAGTTTTTAAATGTAGCGTGTAGTTACTTTCAGTATCAACAGCTAATTGACTAAACATTTGCAACGATTTCTTTAATGGTTAACTTATAAAATATAAATCCTACCCTCTGTATTTGAAGAAGTTCTTGGTGCAAGTGTAGGCAACAGACAGAGGACCGGAGCTCTCGAGTGCAGCAACCTGTCTGCTGTCTCCTTTAGCGTTGGTGTAACCACTGACTTTGAAGGCAATCAGACCGTTTTGTGAGCTGCTGAATCTGCAGGGTCCTTCCTTTCCTGGGGTGTGATAAGAAATAATTTTGAGTAGGTACTAAGGTACTTTACACTTCATATATCCTCCCAAAACTCGTCTAACTCTATATAAAAGTAATAAACTCCGATTAAGTTTACATTTTGACCTACCCTTGTATGGTACGTGTTTCATCTCAGCCAGTCTACCGGACTTCTTAGCGTAGTTGTAGACATAGTGCATCCATCCGCCTCCGCATCCCTTCTTCATAGAACATTCCAGACCCTCCTGTTCGGAGAAAGACTTGAGGATACTGCCTTTGTTTTTGTAAGCTCCCTCCAGAGCTCCCATAGCAGAGAACACCCAGCAAGATCCACATCGTCCCTGACTCTTGATTTTGGTGACAGCCTGGTGTTTGCCACCGTTAGCAGTTCTCCAGTCTCGAGATCCGGAGGATGGTCCGGCGGTGAGGGGCACCATGTACTCTGGGACGTCGTCTCCGAGTTCTTGGGTGAAGTTAGCTCCAGTGTAACCGTACATCTCCTCTTCTGTCTGTAGAGATGCAAGGTTTGAATGTTGGTTTGGAATGTTGTCAGGTGTTTTGCTGTGCAATTTTAAGTATATTTCACATCTACCAACCCCTTACAGACCGAACCACATCATTTAACATTTAACTAAAATCTGCGAACCTTACCATGTCAGAGAACTGGTTAAGACCCATCTGCCAGGACTCATCATGAGAGTTGTGCTCAGCAACAGTTTGGAGAGTTTTCCTGAAGAGACCCAGTCGAACCCTCTGTTCAGCTCTGTTGAGTTTCCTGCCTTGTTCTTGAGAATAGTCTGAGTACAGTTTCTGAGGTGGGTGTGTTGTGTTGTCAAAGTGATTGCTTAGACTGTGTCGGGAGTTTAGGAGACAAATTAGCTGTTATAATCTGTCAAGAAGTAAGTAATTGTGCTATTAAGTTAGCTTAATGGCCATTAGTCTGCTACAGAAAAGACATTTTCACAGTCAGTAAGTTACCTGTAAAGCGTGAGGGCTCATCAAAGCTGAGGTGATCCTCACATCAGTTCTGTCATAGCCATGAACTGTAGCAATAGCTACAAGTAGAGCAAGATACGCAAACATTTTGTCAAATAATGGATTTTCCCGGCCAATCTTGTGGTTTAAATAGCATAGATTATACGTTTGAACAGATGTTTGAAAATTGGATTAACTTCAGTAAATTAGTGCGAATCAGACAATCCAAGTTGTGACGATTGAAATAATTTCGTCAGGACTTTTGTCCCGGATTCTTGCATCTGCTACATTTCGCTAGAGATTAAACTATGATTAATTTAACACGGGGATTTTTTTAAACAATAGAATTAAGACGTGTCAAATAAGTAACGTTTTCCTCTGTTCTAGACAAATTTGATAATGAAATAAATCCGAATTTTTGTTGAAATCCAAAAATCTAGACATAGCTAGAATTAAAACGTGATCCAGACTGATCTAAATATAAGTTTTTATAAATCATAGGACTAGGAAATTCCCAATAGTTTGAACAACTACTCTCATTTCAGGTTGGGTGTATGGGTCTGTGTGGACCGAGTTGTTTCCGGTGTTGGTCCTACATCTGTGGGGACTGTTGCAAACATCCCGGCTGCTACTCGCACGACTCTAAATGCTTGGAGGGTTACCTTACTCTGGAATGTATTACTGGTAAAGGTCTCATCTGGGGTGACAACTCGGACACCTGCTAGTCTTATCTCTTGTTGACCTGTTTTTGAATGTTGGATTTGAACACGATGTATTTCGTTAATAAATTTCAATCTGCTTTTAGCTTGTTTAAGTTAAATTAAGTTGAGTGACTGAACAGAGGTGAATTTGAACCAAAATGCGAATTTGGTTCCGAACAGAAGCTTTTGCTCACCTTAACTATATTTATTTGCGAATGTTTTAAATATTTATCTGGAACCCTTTTAATATAATGATTTATTATTCATAATTTCGATGCTACATCAAAAAGTTTAAAATATTCTTTATCAATGCAACAAATTCATGATAATCACAGCTACAAACATTTTATTTTGTATTATTTTACGATGAGGAAATTTAAAATTGTTTTTGAGACTATCTTTGTTTAGGATTAACTACTTTATTTATTTTACTTTAGAATTCAAAAAAATAATTTGATATTTATTAATCTTTGAACTGTAATGCTTATTTTCAAATTGATTTAATTGTTTATTCTATTTTTAGAGAATGTCGTTTGAATTAGCAATTTTCCGTGTGGCCGTTTTCCCCTCTTGTTAGTTTCAGATCTTCTCGATGTTAGCATTCTAAAAGTACAATTATCGTCAAAAATAGCGACCAGGTAATTAGTGCTCGATTATTGACACCCTTTTCCTCCCACTGCCAAGCTCCCAATGCGACACGTAGTTAAGTGTGTCCTTGTAGCGATGGTTTAAATGCGTGTGTACGTTCTCTGTAAGATGGAATGAGCTCTTATTACAAATATGTGATCATGATTAATAAAGGCCTTCGCTGTATGTTATCATCGTGCAGATTCAATGAGACTTACTGTCTGAACTCAAATGAAAACCAGACATACGTGAAATAACATAATTCGTGCAATTGGCGACAGTATCTGGTTCTGCCATAATTTAATGTGAGTGTCATCTGATTCCGCCGTGTTTTTCCATTAACATGTCCAGTCTCAATGTAGTTCTTTAGGCGCTGCTTGTCTTAAAGAGATTCTCGTTTAAGAGCGCTGGCTCCATTCTTGGCTGATTTGTAGCGGATGAAAGCATCCTTTTTTGAGTACGAGTTACGACCCATGCCCCTCCTACTGACACTGGAGGCGATGCCTTTTCAGAAACTGCATCTTAATCTGATCGTACCATCCTAATTATGCTGTGCAGCAAGAGTCAGTTGACAGTTCTATGATAATATTGTGTACAAACTACACAATAAAAGTAATTATGGGCACAAATTGACAAATTTGTTATCACTAAAAGGGTCTACATTAGATGAAATTGGCACGCGCACTACGAATTTTCTTGTTATTGTTCGCGCGCACGTATATTTTATTTCGAGAATTGTACAAAAACGTATAAAAATGTGACGAGTACTCACGAATTTGCATTTGACTGGCTAAATCACAATAAGAACAAAAAAATATTCTAATTATGCAATCATTCAAAGTGTTCGTTTCCACAGTAACAGCAAGCACTATGATTGAACTGCACGTGCAAAACTAAATTTTAATTTTGTAGCCTTTATTTCGTCGCATGTCTTAAATTCTGCCATGGTGAACCCCGACAATCAAAGCAAAGCGATCGAAACTGCGATCTGCCAGAATTGTGTCACCTTCGTCGATGAAAAACCTAAAGTCTACGTTCCCCCGATGGGATTGTCAAGTGAAGTAGATGACCCAGTGCACTCTACGTACAGTCGAGATTACCCAGGACACAAGCGGATATCTCCTCCGCTAGTGAGAAGACCACACGATGCGCTACCCATTTCTACAGACTACAAGAACACTTACATCACCACTTGTCAAGAGAGGTTCAAACCTTGGGACATGAAAACCATCCCTCGATACGAGAATAAGGCTCCACGCAGACATTACACTGCTCCAGAGGTTAATAAGTTATCACAATTGAACGAAATCTAAAATATTCAGTAGCTACTAATAAATCAGCACTTGCCGCAAAAACAACATACCAGGATTCGGGTAATAACCGACAGGTGATTATAAGGAATTTGACCACGAAAATGAAGCATTCATTTCTATTCTAATCACCTCAATATAAATTTGTTATACTCTTTCAGATAACTATGCACAGTACGACAAGCTATAAAGATGACTTTGCCAAAATTGTACCTCTACCGAACATTCAAAGGATGTCAAGGAATAAAAAGAAGCCATTCTACATGCCCCAAAATTTGGAGGCTATGGTAACTGGTACAACTTACAAGAAAGATTTCGGTTCTTGGAAGGTACGCTAAACCAATTTTCTGCAAAGATCTTGCTAACTGTTACCATTTACAGGTTCTGACTTTGAGTAAACAAAGCTATCTATTTTATCTAAAACGTATCATTATGATATTGTTATCCAATCATTTCAGGTGAGTGTCCGAGAAATACCACCCTGGGCTAGACGAAAGCCAAGGACCACCCCTCCACCATTCCTATCGGTCACCACACAGAAGCGCGACTACTCCGTACCATTCGTCCAGCGAACCGACGTCGCCCAACCCTACCGACCTAAGGACGGCTTTACTTTCACTGACAGTGAGCAGCCGATGAACATGACTACCATGTATAGCGCTATTCACGATAAGCTACAACCAACCAAAGATGTGTACGCTTAAGAGCCTTCGATTTTCTGGGGAAAATCATCTTTAGATTTTAGCTTTGAACTTTATCTTTAAACTTTTTATCAGAACGTATAATGTTTGATTATTTAAAACAAATGATACCCAGCAATTTTAAAATTATAATTTAATTGGAAACCGTTTTACATATTTCTGAATTAAAGTTGATCATTTTATACACTATATTACATTTAATAAACATACCATAAATTTCTTATCTAATTGATTTTTGTTAGTTAAAAAGTATGAAAAATTTAGATTATTTAGTTTTAGAAGCAAATTGCTAAACTGAAAATTAATAAATAAGATGTTGAGTCGCTATCTCAGTTTTTCTTTCAGTCTTGACGTCCGGGCTATAATATGGCCGAAACTTTTTCACGTCACAGTCAATTCTCTAAATTCGGATTCGATTCGCATCACGCTAAGCTTCTCGAATGTTCATGTACCACTAAAGTCTCTGGTGAAATCGTTCATAGATTGAATTGGAGGGATCAGCGGTGTCCTGAAATAAGGAAACATTAGAGAAATAAAGATGATTCATCTCTATTACTTTTGAACGTCGATTATTCGAAATTAACATAATTTCAGTAAATATAAATAAAGATTTTTCCCGGTTTCTAAAATAGAAAACCACCTGGAGTTAGACCTAATGTACGCTTCTCACTCCATTATGCTGACTCCTTTAAGTGAAAATATCTGACGGCTGACTATCATAACACTTAGTTAAACGTTAAAATAGAAATAAGAACATACCTGGATCCCTGAACCTCGTAGTAGCCGGCCTCAACCAGACAACTCTCAATCAGGCTCTGAAGGTGCTCATATGTTAACAAAACTTCTGATCCCTCTGGTCCCTCCACTGCCAGGCTTGCCAGAGAGTTGGATCCTGAGAGTTGGGAATCTATTTACTATTTCTAAATCATTATTATGATTATGTTAATAGTACTAGAAAAGGTTTGAAATTGTGAAGCAAGAAATCAGAAATCACCCCCAAATCTACACATACCTTTGTAATCGTTCTGAGCTTGTAAGGGCTTGCTGGCACTGAAAGTCAAATCCACGATATCTTTAGAAGCCTCCATCAGCTTTTTGATCTCATTTTTTAGATTTACAGAGCCTATATGACGAGTAAAGAGCGCTCGCTTGTATTTCTCAATAACACGCCGTTTAGGGTTTAGATTCATCGAGGGCGGCAACTGAAAAATATATAAAAGGGTCAAACATTATCAGATGTAACAAGTTGGGTAATGGGTAATTGCAGCGAGAAACATTGTGTCCCAGATGTTTATGCTCATGTTTTTGTATCAGACTTGTAATTTCAGCCACATTGTACATATTAGACATGGTTAAAGTTAAACGTTCCAATATTTTTCAAGTCACAAGAAATCGGGTGCTTATTCAACTGACAACAGCCAGCACTTCAGAAAGAATTAGCAATGAAGAAAGAAAATCACACTAACCTGAGTGATAAAGATAATCTTGTGCATCTGGTTTAGAATTTGAAGGATAGGATCGTCTATCTGTCTGACTTTGCGTTGTGATATGGATATTGTCGCGGTACTGACATTCCTGGCTCCTGTACCACTCTGCCTCCTACATCTGTTACTCAGTGCACTGAAACGTTTGCCCATTATTTTCGTTCGTTGTTTTGGATGAAAGAATTAATTTGTCCATACCATAGCACAATGGTATTCCTCATGTTTGAATGGATTATAATTTCGTCTGACATTGCCTTGTTCTAGCAGCCACTGTGTGTTATACACTATGATTCGACGACAACGGTATAATTACCCGGATGGGTCTGAAACACTGCACTGGAGTTTGTGGTAATCTTGAAATCCTTATTAAATCTCTCGCTGTCACTATAAGAGCCGTCTCACGGATTTCATTACCTATTTTAGTTCAGTAATGACAACGTTGAAATATTGAACATGGCAGCCCTTATAAGAAAAGCAGATGCTATTGATGAGTTTCCAAATATGGTGTTACATCTGTTTTCTTGAAATCAAGGATGCAGTGTTAATTATTGCAACACGTTCATTTCAGACAAGTTAAGGACTAAGGAGTTGCAGAACAATTAACATGTCTGAAATCTTACTCTAGAGACTGTCTGAAAACAGAATATTCTTTAGATAAAAAATACATCTGACCTTGTGCAGGTCATTTATAGCTGAATATTTACCAACAGTGTGGTTGATATTACTGTCTCCATTTCATATACTGTGTAATTTCTTGAACTCTTTAGTCAAATCTTTGAGTACTTTCTTAATCTCGCACGGTTTGTACGTCATAAATTCACGCAAGGGATGCAATGCATATGGGTGGGTTAAACGACCAACGACCATTAGACAAAATAGTAATATTAGCAGGGAAAATTTAGAGCACGTGGTCCGTGGTCGTTAATGGTGTCCAAGAAAAATCTAGCCCTAGTACAAGTGTATAGTATAAGCTTTGAGACACCCATTCGTCTTTGTCGATTGAATCGCTTACATCTTTCCTAGATTCCTGTTTGGCGCGTAGTTTATTTCTGATGACCGATTGACAAATTACAATTAATTGGTACAATTAGCCCAATCAATGAATCAACGTCCAAATTAAAATGCCCATTCTATGCACGTGACAACTGACAAGAAGAATCAAATTGCAAAGAAACAGGATTCATTAATTGGATCTGAGAGGGGGCTTGATCTTTCTAGAATATAACGTACTGCACTTAAAGGGCTCAGTGTCACCCTCTTAAAACTACGTATTTATTGTGAATTATCATTACGTCCTTATTTCTAGCTTAACCTTAGTCTCAGTGCATATGCACTATTCAGTGTGCATGATTCCCATAATTAATCTGAATCTTTTGGCGCCAAATCTTACAATTACCTGACTACCCACATACAACGGCGAACACAGCATAGCTCCAGCTTTTGCCGACGTAATTCTCCTACATTCACATATTATGTTACAAACAATGGGTCGTTTTTAGAGGAAAACTTTGAGCATGTGTGACAGATCAACAAGTGAACAATTATAGTGGTTAACTTCTCCTACAGGACCCTCATAATTATATAATTATACCAGTTCTACTCGCTTGAACTTACACAATGCATAGTTTCGAAGAGGCATGTTTGCGATAGTTGTTATAATTTGTTTTTGTTTTGTGACTTTGAGTCGGTATTACTACTGCTACATTTATCACAAAGAACTAATCAGTCAAATACAAAGTACGAGTATTTCAAACAATAACACGGGTTATAGTGGGTTAACTGCCCACGATTAACTGATCAGCGGTAAAAGGTGCACTGGCAGTCGCAAAGGCCCTAGTAGTATAGTCCCAGCTATTGTTCTAAACAAGTTACATACTGCATACATGTAGGTGCTACAAGATTAGTACCACTAATGACAATGTTACGCGTCCACTCCGTCATAATTATGTACTATACAGTATACAGTTCATGTAGGCAATATTTCCCCGTCCCTTTCGCTCTGTAGCTTCTCATACAATCTCTGCGTCTCAATATTATTTTCTATGCCTTCCTTTTGAGCTTCTGACGTGTTGACCTCCTATTTGATTGGATAGAAACGCAAGTGCTGATCCATATAGATATGATTTAATTGTGTATTGATGTAAATTGATAACTTTACCAATAGAGTGAAAATAACTGAAGGCCGCACGGTTAGCTGTGGTTACCAGAGTTAATTTATGTGAGTTCAGATATGCTGCCATGTACCAGTTTTAGTTTCTGTAAGAATAGTATGAGAAAAAATGTTCATAGGAAAGAAAAGTTAGCCTCCAACTTAAAGTGCCATTCAGATTCTTTTGTAATTGCGAGCTTATACCCCCAGCTTTGCTGGGGGATATTCAGTTTACCCATCTAGTGTCACCATATCATAATCAATGGTCCGATCTGACGACTTTCCTCCAAAATTCACGTGTATATTGTACAATTAAGAGACCAGTTCATACGTGACTACGAATTAAACCAATCATTTTGAAGCAGGTGACATGCTCCATACGGCCGGGTGATACAATGGCTTGTAGCAAAATAGTTGAATATTAGATATATCCGTATTGTTATCTTATTATTCGTACTATTGACATATTATTATGCGGAGAAGCGCCATTGTCCATGGATTTTAGACGATCATGTCATAATTTACCAGACTAGTAATAATACCTCTCTAGTCTCCGTATTAATATACCGTGCCTCTCTTTACTGGGCACCTCGATTTACCAGGCATTTTCTTTTACCCAAACTTTTAAGCTCGTTTCGATCTTTTAAAGTTTTTGTTATCTTTAACATTTCCTAACAACATTTACGTGTAAAATTGAAAAACGTTCAAATATTTTAATTTATGGAATCGAACTGGTAAGCAAACAGCTTAATTTTGATTTTTTTTTATTGTTTTTAATTGTTCACTAATCACTAAAGAATCTGTCGTTCAGATTTCAACGAGAAATGATTACACATTTGAGGATCCTTCTGTCTCTGTTACTTTGCTATCCGCCAATCGTTACAACTCAATCAAGTTCCACACCAACTGTGATAGAAACAGAAGCCGCAGAAGAAACCCATCTAACAGCTGGATCAAAACGTAATCTTGATACAGATCCTAAAACTGATCCTACGATTGATCATAAGACTGATCTTGCAACTAGTAATCCTAAGTCTCGTTCTGAAACAACCGCAACATCTTCGCCAAGCAGTTCTAGTAGTATTACTCCTCCTCCAATATTTACTGAAGTGCCATGGGATGATATTAAAGGTAATTAGCATTTACAGGAGGGTTGGCACATCGAATATGTATAATCTAAGAGGAGCGAAGTTTTAAAACAGTATTTTCCCATGACCTAAATTGTCACTATACCGTGACTTGATTATATGAACGAAATTTCAGATGACACGATTTGTAAGTTCGTTCAGCATTATGGTTACATCAAAATTCAATGCACAGCTGTGGACGTAGCAACCAACAAAACGAAGACATTCTTCAAGTGCCCAAATTCTGACGATTACTATGCGGAGGTAAAAAGAGAGTGTGACGAACAGCAATTTACTACAGCTTGTCCCAAAGATCCTAGGTTTTATCAGGTAAGAGGGGTTACCTTACGAGACATATTTATGGTCGACATAATTCCGGTGACCTAAATGATTTGGGAACAAAAATATGGGAATTTTTACCAAAAACCGCCACATTTCGTACATTTATAACTTACTATATTGATAAATTGATAGTAAATCGATAAAGTCATAATTAAGGAAAATACGTGAAAAATTATTTGGGGAAAATAATGATGGTGACCCAAATTTTGATAGTCCGAAAATATGGTATTTTTTTCGAAAACCACCGACTTTCGTACCATTTGAATATGTGTCGCACGGTATTTAGGAAAAAAGTTAGAGTTAGATTTAGGGCTCAATAAGGTAACAATTCGCGGGGCAAGACGACGGGGACCGTACAACATTTAAAAAAATATTATCATTTTAGGTCCTATAAAATATTATTTCAATTTTCAGGGCTGTGGGTTTGTGAAGTTAAATTGCAAAAACAAAGGAACAGGCGAGGAGGGGTTTGCCGCCATTGAGGAGATGCATTACCATCACAACTTCCTGTGTGCCCATGCGATATGTTCTTATAATAAAGGGATATTAGGAACAAATGATATCTGTAACAAAGAATGTGTGAACATTCCGAACTCTGTCTCTGAAGATATTTGTGCAGCACAAAAAGCGAATTCATACACCTGCAAATATCCAGCCATGGGCAATATCATCGACTCTCAACAAATGTGTGATGATATCTGTAACTGTCATGCGTGTGATGATGAGGCTATATGCAATGGTTTCACTTATGGATACTTTTGCTATGCATATAATAGTAAAACAAGTCGTAGCACCGTTCATCATCCCAATGAACGTAATTCTCCCATAATGAGAATATGGACTTATGTTGCAGCATTTGAAATTTGTGACGGAATTCAACATTGTGAAGATGGTGAAGATGAAAGTGGCTGCGATAAGGGACCGCTCTGTGACGCACAATCAAATAGTATTGTTAGACCAATAACTAATCGTACAAGATGTGCTCCGGTGCGAGGAAACACGGAAACCCTGTATTGTGACGATTATTCTGATCAACTGAACTGCATTGATTCCACTATAGCAAATCTAACTTGCTTGAGAGGCGGCGACCTTGTTTCTGTTGCTGATAGAATGATATGTCACAACATTTCTGGTGTCCAACTTTGTGATGACGGTTTTGAAAACATGTGTGTGAAAATTGATATCACTTGTGATGTACACAAACACCAACTTTGCGATGAAGAAGAAGATTGTGTAAATGGAGCAGATGAGTTGCATGTCACTTGTCAAAAAATGAGCAAGTTTATGTGTGAGCGTGTTTTCGGATTGGAGAACAGACTGTTACATATACCTCTGAGCTGGATAAACGACGGATACAAGGATTGTGATAATGGCGAAGACGAAGATAAATACCCAATATGCGGCCTCACTCCAGCCACGAAAAGATTGAAGACTGAAGATGAAGAATGTGAAGAAGTCTTCCTCTGCGGGTTTCCGCCCTCTGATCATATTGAATTTGAAGATCTCTGTGATAATAGAAATACTTGCAGTAATGAAAACGAACTCTGTCGCACAGCTCTGTCTTCTTCAAATATCTCCCAGAAGCTTAGCAATAGCGAAAGTAAACTGGTTGTCTCGTACTGCCTTAAAGGTCTGGAAAGTCTTGCTTATGTGGCCGGAAATTGTTCAGAGATGGAATTTACATATCAGAACTATGAAATCCTTGGCAGGACCGAACTGATCTTGAATGTTCCAGAAACTGTGTTTGAGTGCAACTATGTATATGGTGAGATGTATGTCTATCTTGCCTGCATTGGTCAGTGTGCAGATTCCTTCTGTCCCCTCAAAAATCTTCTTAGAAACGACTCCTGTCCCGGGCAGTACCCCTCAAGGATTTACACCCTCGCGGGTAACGACTCTCTCTCCTTCCTTCTGCCGTATGGTAACAACAATTACCACAACAATATTTTTCCTTGCGAAAATGGTAGATGTATTCCTTACGAAAAAGTTTGTAATCTGGCTGACGATTGTGGGGATTCTTCAGATGAATCAAACTGTACTAACCATTTTGAGTGCAAAATAAACATGGAGTATATTCCCCAATCTAGTATTTGCGATGGAAAACCAGATTGCCTCGACTTGTCTGATGAGTGTAATGACAGATGCCATGTAAGGATCATAGAGAACGTGGCCCTTGAGGGTTTAGCCTGGATTTTAGGCTCATTGGCGACACTTTTTAACTCAGTCGCTTTCCTTCGCGGTATGTATAATTTAAGAAGTGTCACTCCAGGGACAAATCTTTTCAAGATGAAAATTCTCATCCTTCTCATAGCGTCGGGTGATTTGTTACTTGGAGTATATCTCCTAGCGATATCTATCTATCATCGTGTATACCACCATAGTTATTGTTCTAAACGATTTGAATGGTTAACCAGCACATCGTGTGCTGTTATGGGAATTGTTAGTACCATGGGGTCTCTATTATCTCTCTTTTCGATGACAGTACTCAGTGTTACTCGATCATTAAAAATGACGAATTTGTCCGTCGTAGATTTAAGATCTTTCAAATCAAGCATTCAGATACTTTTGATTGGAATTACAATTGTGATCTCGTCGTGTTTGATGACAGCTGCGCCATTGTTTAAACCTTTTGAGGACTTTTTTGTCAATGGAATCTACTATCCTGGCAGCTCATTATTTGTTGGATCGGTTACAAAATCTAAACATTTAGAAATTTTCGGGGGATATTATGGAAGACTGAAAAACAAAGATCTCTCGTGGAAAAACATTGACAAATTGGTGGTGAGTATGTTTAGTGAAGAGTATGGAGGAATTACCAGGAACCAGGTTCATTTCTACGGAAACGCAGGAGTATGCCTCTTCAAATACTTTGTAACACCAGATGATCCGCAACGGATTTATGTGTGGTTTATTCTTATTCTGAACATCATGTGTTTTACATTGATCACCATATCTTACATCATCATTCATATCATTTCAACTCAGTCCACTGGTCAGGTACGCAACAACAATACATCAAGTAGAAACACTAAACTCCAAAGGAAGATTGCACTCATCATCGGGACAAACTTCTGTTGCTGGATTCCATTCATTGTCATGTGTCTCCTCCACTATTTGGAAATGACGGATGCTAGTCCTTATTATTCAATCTTCTCGATCGTTATCCTTCCCATAAACTCTGTCATAAACCCACTGCTATACGACGATACAATCAGTGGACTGGTCTCCAAGATGCACACGGCTTTAACCGGACAATTACGATCTATCTTCCCGTTTTCAGAAGTCACTGCTGTACAAGAGGCAAGCGCAATTCAAGAATCTTCCCATGTGATCAGGAGCTCAAGAAGGGCAAGAGTTCATGATCAAATTCCTCTTCAAGAAATGTCAGTTCTCGACAAACAGGTTATAAAAACTGGCGAGCAGACTGAGGAAGCACTCTGAATTTATCCTATTTGAACATCTTAGGAGGAAGTCATGACAAAAACAAGGAGCAGTCAAATGAGTGATTGAGTGATAGTATATTTGAGCCGTGCTGTCAGTACACCTCGACCAATTAAAATTCTGTATAATTTTCTTATATTTGTGATCATTCAATTTGAAAATCTATTAAGATATATTTTTTAAATTATCAGAATTTATATTGGCCTTATAATTGGTTTCTTGTGCCTCCGTGCAAGCTAGTCAAATCGCAAAAATACAGCAAAGAAAGAGTTTCCTCAGTACTCCAGCTTGCAGGGGTACAACTAGTTCCAGGTGTACTGAGCCTTAGCGTAAGCAAGTTTAACAGCTTATTTAGACGAAACATTTCCTATGCTTTATGCAAAATAGTCCTTTAAAGTTCATGGATACAATAATTATTAGATCTGTGTGCTGATTCGTACCATTGTTATATTGGAAGTGAATATATTACAAAATCACCTTTAGTTCATGTTTGGTTCAGCCTATATTTAGCAGTGTAAACGTAGCTTATTTAATGCTATTTACACAGGTTCACGTTGTTACAAGATACCCATCCCTCGTTTCATACAAAGTTGATGCAAAATGAGTAGTGAGTATTTAATAGGTGCCGGCGCGAACAATCTGTCAGCAGAAGAGTTAGCGATGTTAATGTCTAGGACACTTTCAGGTGCAGATGTATTTTCAAAGCCATTACTTTTGCATATATTAATGGGATAATATGATACGTCATACGTGCACTGTGATTCGTCACATCTCTCAGAGGAAGTGCCCCATCAAGTGAACGAGTGAAGAGGTACTGTACATCATTATGCTACAGAGAGTCAATTTAAGACAGTGTTAAGGTACAAAAGTGAGGGAATGAGAACGAACTGGCGGTTGAATACTCGCAGACGCCCGGAGCATTGCTTTAAAGTTTAGGCTAACTATTAATTATGCAGTACTTTTCGAATTTAACCACATAAGACTCACCTATCAGCGCAGTTTCCAGAGTGGATGTGACTTGGTCTAGCACGGTTGGAGGCAACAGAGGGAGCAGAAGGAACTTGTCTGCCGGAAACACAGGTGCATCGCCGCCTGCCAGTTCCACTCCGGAATTTGGATCGGTGGGAGGGTCGGTTAGGGGAACTGTCTGTGTCATCAACCGAACTCTCCTCCCCGGTAGAGGACACGCCCATCGAGGATCTGAGAATAAGGAAATCACTTTCAGGATTATCTTTACCAGTAATTTCATATTGATAAATAATCCACAGGTTTTCATTATATTCAATGAAGGATCATCGCTTTTTTGCCATCCTTTCCTCCTTACTATCGAAAATGTTCGGAATAACAAGGGAACGGCGCAGTGAAAATGATGGGCAATTACCCGGAACACTTGAGACATGAGTCATCTTGTTCTTGAGATGAGTGGTTGGTAGCGAGGAACAGTCGCTGGTAATTCTGTAGGTTCCTATTGCTCTCGTGGTAGTGCCTGGAAATTAATTAGTCATAGATCAATGAAACATAAAATAACTCCAATCAATTTTTGAAATATTTGTGAAACGTGGTAAGAGATCAGAGATCAAAGGCATCTGTTCATTTTAATAAAATATAAGGTACAAACTTCTGGACACGTTTCTTCTCCCTCTGCAGTTTCCTCTGAAGAGTTGCTTCTCTAGTCCGCACCTCGTCCATGTGCAACATGATGATCTCTGCTATACTGGACCCTACCCCCACTATGTCGGGTCTCAGGTCTGTGTCTGGGGTCATGCATCTGCAGGGTGGGTTGAGGGTTCAACTGGGTGTATTTTGGAGAGAGGATGGACAGTGGACACCATGTCCAGAATACAGAAAAATAAGATATTGTTTGAGTTAACTTTAGTGTTTAGTTGAGTTAACTTACTGTTGAACCGTGGAGATGATCTTAGAAGAAAAGTATTCTACTGGTAAGGGGGCGTATATCGACTCAACTATCTGAGGAAGAGGCGTATTAAATATAATAATAATAATATAGAGTTGCACTAAACAAATTCGATAACAAGGTAAATAAACTTTAAAATGGTTAGTGAAGCGATCGTATTACTAATTACATGATTCTATTAATGCCAATTTACCACCCAATAAGAAATAAATCACATAAAACAAATGAATAAGTAAAATGTTAAGAAGTGGACTAACATTTTTAGCAAGAGCGAGGGTTGACATTCCGTCCCGGTAGAAGGGGTGAGTAAGTGTGCACATCTGATACAGCAGACACCCTATAGCCCACACATCTGCCTTGTTGCTGTACGGCTCGTTCTTCACTAGTTCCGGGCAGCTGTAGAGGATTGTTCCCACTACTGACTGCATTAGTCCCTGCTTCTGACGGGACAAACCAAAGTCCGCTGAGATGTAGGTTCATTATCAAGGGGGTTTTGATGCAGATTACAGGTAACAGAAACTTTGAAGCTTGAAAAAATCGTTAAAATAGCGCCTGATGATGTATAAAGAGCGCGATTTTCATTATTTATTTTCTATTGTCATAAGGTAAGCGAATCCTGATGACAAAGTAAGCTTTTCAAAGTGAACATGAGTTGTTTGAATGTGTACTCACTGAGAGTGACCTTGTCGTAGTCTCCCAACATGATGTTGTTAGGAGTGAGATCTCTGTGTACAATTCCTTTATCACAGTGCAGGTATCTCAATGCTAACACCATCTGAAGAAAAGATAAACACTTGGTCAGGTAGGCTGTAAGTTGTTTTTAGCATCATACTTTTGTGGACCTAACATGCTGTTTTTTTTTAAACAGAACTATCGTTTACATTCTATAAGTTGATTTAAACATTATTTTAAGTAAACACAAACCTGAACAAATATTTTCCAGATTCTCTCCTCGCTGAAAGACAGGCCCTTTTCACGGAGCGAAGAGAAATGTTCGCTGAGAGGAGCTCCGTCTATATGCTGCATCACTATGTACAACCTGCTCTGTTCCTTGAACGTTTTGTAGTACCTGGTAGTGATAACAGTGGTCACGTGACTGAACGTTTTGTAGTACCTGGTAGTGATTACATTGGTCACGTGACTGAACGTTTTGTAGTGCCTGGTAGTGATTACATTGGTCACGTGACTGAACGTTTTGTAGTACCTGGTAGTGATAACAGTGGTCACGTGACTGAATATTTTGTAGTACCTGTTAGTGATAACAGTGGTCACGTGACTGAATGTTTTGTAGTACCTGGTAGTGATAACAGTGGTCACGTGACTGAACGTTTTGTAGTACCTGGTAGTGATAACAGTGGTCACGTGACTGAACGTTTTGTAGTACCTGGTAGTGATAACAGTGGTCACGTGACTGAATGTTTTGTAGTACCTGGTAGTGATAACAGTGGTCACGTGACTGAACGTTTTGTAGTACCTGGTAGTGATAACAGTGGTCACGTGACTGAACGTTTTGTAGTACCTGGTAGTGATAACAGTGGTCACGTGACTGAATGTTTTGTAGTACCTGGTAGTGATAACATTGGTCACGTGACTGAACGTTTAGTAGTACCTGGTAGTGATAACAGTGGTCACGTGACTGAATATTTTGTAGTACCTGTTAGTGATAACAGTGGTCACGTGACTGAATATTTTGTAGTACCTGTTAGTGATAACAGTGGTTACGTGACTGAATGTTTAGTAGTACCTGGTAGTGATAACATTGGTCACGTGACTGAATGTTTTGTAGTACCTGGTAGTGATAACATTGGTTACGTGACTGAACGTTTAGTAGTACCTGGTAGTGATAACAGTGGTCACGTGACTGAATATTTTGTAGTACCTGTTAGTTATAACAGTGGTCACGTGACTGAATATTTTGTAGTACCTGTTAGTGATAACAGTGGTCACGTGACTGAATATTTTGTAGTACCTGGTAGTGATAACAGTGGTCACGTGACTGAATGTTTTGTAGTACCTGGTAGTGATAACATTGGTCACGTGACTGAATGTTTTGTAGTACCTGGTAGTGATAACATTGGTTACGTGACTGAACGTTTAGTAGTACCTGGTAGTGATAACAGTGGTTACGTGACTGAATGTTTAGTAGTACCTGGTAGTGATAACATTGGTCACGTGACTGAATGTTTTGTAGTACCTGGTAGTGATAACATTGGTTACGTGACTGAACGTTTAGTAGTACCTGGTAGTGATAACAGTGGTCACGTGACTGAATATTTTGTAGTACCTGTTAGTTATAACAGTGGTCACGTGACTGAATATTTTGTAGTACCTGTTAGTGATAACAGTGGTTACGTGACTGAACGTTTTGTAGTACCTGGTAGTGATAACATTGGTCACGTGACTGAACGTTTAGTAGTACATGGTAGTGATAACAGTGGTCACGTGACTGAATATTTTGTAGTACCTGGTACTGATAACAGTGGTCACGTGACTGAACGTTTTGTAGTACCTGGTAGTGATAACAGTGGTCACGTGACTGAATGTTTTGTAGTACCTGGTAGTGATAACATTGGTCACGTGACTGAACGTTTAGTAGTACCTGGTAGTGATAACAGTGGTCACGTGACTGAATATTTTGTAGTACCTGTTAGTGATAACAGTGGTCACGTGACTGAATGTTTTGTAGTACCTGGTAGTGATAACAGTGGTCACGTGACTGAACGTTTTGTAGTACCTGGTAGTGATAACAGTGGTCACGTGACTGAATATTTTGTAGTACCTGGTAGTGATAACAGTGGTCACGTGACTGAATGTTTTGTAGTACCTGGTAGTGATAACAGTGGTCACGTGACTGAATGTTTTGTAGTACCTGGTAGTGATAACAGTGGTTACGTGACTGAATGTTTTGTAGTACCTGGTAGTGATAACAGTGGTCACGTGACTGAATGTTTAGTAGTACCTGGTAGTGATAACATTGGTCACGTGACTGAATGTTTAGTAGTACCTGGTAGTGATAACAGTGGTCACGTGACTGAATGTTTTGTAGTACCTGGTAGTGATAACAGTGGTCACGTGACTGAATGTTTTGTAGTACCTGGTAGTGATAACAGTGGTCACGTGACTGAACGTTTTGTAGTGCCTGGTAGTGATAACAGTGGTCACGTGACTGAATGTTTTGTAGTGCCTGGTAGTGATAACATTGGTCACGTGACTGAATGTTTTGTAGTACCTGGTAGTGATAACAGTGGTCACGTGACTGAAATAGGGTTTGTTGTAGAATGTAGAGCTATAGTCTCTGATGACAACACAGATCTCTTGTTAAGACCTAAGATGAATTTATCTTGAAACTTTGTATCTCCAACTCGCCAAGCTCTGATAGTCATATTTGTATGGTTTCCACATAACTTTCACGATGGTAGGGGGGGTACCAATGGCATAAAATGGAGACAAATGGCATAAAAATCGTCAAATGGCATAGAAATTTCATGGCATAAATGGAAATTTAGCTTGGCCAATTCTCCATTTATGCCAATTTATGCCATTAATTTAGGTCTTCATATTTGACCTTTAGGATGACTTTAGATTCGCAAATACTATTAGTACTTGAATAAGAGACATGTTTCATGCTTTATAACGCTTGGAATGATCGTTAAAGTCAAAGATTCATATGACAAATAACTAAATAAAGAAAATAGAAATGTATTATATCAAATATATACCAAACATTTCACTATTCAAGAATAGCAAATTGTGAGATGTTCAAAATGTACAGAATACAAACATTGACAACACAACGATTTTGAATGTCATCAAGGAACAATGCATCTGATGTATTTGTCTTCGACGAGTAGCCATACATTAGGAGATCCATTGATTAGGCTATGTTCCTGGCAGTAGTACTTCATCGGGCATGACTTATAAGAAATAAATCTAACCACTCCTGTTGCAAAGTTCTGCTGAGATTTGAAGACTTTAAGAGTTTCTGTACTGCCAGCTTTCAAAATTGTTGAACATCCGCATTCAGGTTGATTGTATATGCGAACATCAGAAGACACTCCAAACGCGTCCCCCTTGAATCTTGAAAGACGAGATTTTGTTGATAAAGTGCTTCTTCCTCCATTGAGCGTGGCCGTGAGTGTCTCAAAAGACCGGAAGGATAGTGTTCCATATTTATCTGTTGATATCGTTTCTCCATCATCACAATCATCAACTACAGGTTCTACCTCATAAGCTAAGTCGTCCTCATCCTCGAGGCATCCAGATTCATCATCTACAGCTTCCCAAGAAAGTTCTTGGCCATGGACGATTGGCTTCCCACTCCGTTCTTCAGGATCTGCGACTGCGGCGAACACAGGGAAATTGTTTCTTTTCCCTTCTCGAATGCAGTCCCTCGATGCCCTGTCCAGCGTTTTTGCCAACTTGCCTAGGCTTATCATACCACCAGTCCATTTCACTCGTTCTGCTTTCTGGCCTGTAGATTTAACCTTTTTGAGGTGAACTGTAGGATGCAAAACTGTACTTCCACGTGCATGTGCAATAGCAGATGTGTCTTCATGTAATGATAAAGCACTGTACACATTCTTTCTCTCCATTCCATGGGCCATAGTTATCGCATCCATATTTCTTGAGCGACCAGATGAAAAAGAAACCCGAATAAATGCAAACAGCTGCTCATTCTGATCACTTCCAAGGTAATAAGTGACGATTTCAGCATTAGGGAATTGCTTCTTCAGCAGAGTTAAATACAAAACAAGACCGTCACAAGTACATATAAGATCAAGGTACGTCTGATTCGTTATGCTGACAGCTGAGTAAGTATTCTCTTTCCAAGTAACGAAAAATGTTTTTTCTCAAACAGTTCCATTTTTATTATACTTTATAGTTTAGAGTCTAATTTGGCATGATATCAGATCATGTGATATTACATGGCCCCATGGAGAGCATTGCCAGAGCAATTGGCCAGAGAGCTCCATAGAAGTAAGGGGCCTACTCTAGCCAACAGCTCTAATACATTTCCTTCCTCAACTTCATTTTCTTCATCTAACTGCTGCTGCTGCTCAGCAACTACTTGACAGCTGGCACAGTGACAATTGTCTGCGTAGTGTATCTGTTAGCCTCAATTTTGCCTCAAGGAGGGAAGGTAGCCTCAATCCAACCTCACATAAGTTTCGATAAAGTCTCAATTTAACCTTCAGGCTACAATTACAAGTTTTATAGTGGGTCTATAACATGTTTCCGTACATTAAAGTTAAAACTTAAAATGCGGTCGAATCATTTATTAGCCTCATTTTGGCCTCCTACAAGAAGACTCTGCGATTTCTGAAATGTTGAGCTTGAAGAGGATGAATAAATTTTTATTGTTGACACATTAGATAGTCACAATACCGAATATGCTCGAAAATATATACAAAAGTATACTTGTTAGCCTCATTTCACCCTCTCACAAGGTGGTTAGCCTCAATTTCACCTCGAAAATTTGAAGCTATAATCCGACGGAATTTCATGTGCAACATAGATATCAAGTAACTTGTGAGTTGTTAACCTGTTTCCGTACATTAAAGTTAAAATGCGGTCGAATTATTTATTAGCCTCATTTTGGCCTCCTACAAGTAGACTCGGCGATTTCTGAAATGTTGAGTTTGAAGAGGATGAATCAATCTTTATTGTTGACGTATTAGATAGTCACAATACCGAACCAACTCGAAAATATACACAAAAGTATACTTGTTAGCCTCATTTCACCCTCTCAAAAGGTGGTTAGCCTCATTTTCAACTCGAATATTTGAAGCTTAAATACCGATTGAATATAATCCCAAGGAATTTCATGTGCAACATGGATATCAAGTAACGTGTGAGCTGTTAACCTGTTTCCGTACATTAAAGTTAAAATGCGGTCGAATTATTTATTAGCCTCATTTTGGCCTCCTACAAGTAGACTCGGCGATTTCTGAAATGTTGAGTTTGAAGAGGATGAATCAATCTTTATTGTTGACATATTAGATAGTCACAATACCGAACCAACTCGAAAATATACACAAAAGTATACTTGTTGGCCTCATTTCACCCTCTCAAAAGGTGGTTAGCCTCATTTTCACCTCGAATATTTAAAGCTTAGATCTCGATCAAGTATAATCACCATGGATTATACTTGCAACTTGGATATCATGGACGTAACATGAGAAAGTTCTTTTTTGAAAGTGGTGAGGCTAATTTGTTAGCCTCAATTGTCCCTCGCAGTTAAATCACTCCTACTGAGTCTAGTGAGTGAGCTAGGAGGTCGCTGAACATCTCATTTTAAAGCCGTATCGATTTTCTATACGCATACCAAAAATCAAATGCGTAACTAAAACAGAAATGAAATTACAGAAGTTTTAAATTTTTTGTCAAAAAACGAACTTTTAGGAGTGTTTCTAATGACCAGGGTCAGTACAACAAATAGAGATAAAGGTGGACAGTACTAGTGGGGTGCAGACTATTCGTTATTAAATTCTCAGTTCAAAGTTTTAAAATTTCATATTTCGAATGGCATAAAATGGAGACAAATGGCATAAAAATCGTCAAATGGCATAGAAATTTCATGGCATAAATGGAAATTTTGCTTGGCCAATTCTCCATTATGCCATTTATGCCATTGGTACCCCCCCCCCCCCCCCCCCCCCCCCCCCCGATGGTAGTGGTAGTGGTAGGAGTACTGCTGCCTGTTTATTACTGTATTCGAGCATATACATTGTATGTGATCTCAATATGTATGTGATCATCATTCATAATGCATGTTGAGATTGTTATTCATTGTGGAAAGTAACTGTTATGTTGATAAGAATACGATATTAAAATGTCATTCAAAAGATTTCTATGATTTCTACTGATCTACGGAACTATTTGTTTTCTGTGCTTCCTTATCGGAACATTAGGACACCTAAGCTTCCTCTACTTCAAACGAAGGAAAATATCTGTGTTATCTACATGATGATAACAGCTGATGGTATTTTAATAAGCATTGCAGTGCTTCCTTCAGGAATTTTGCTATAATCTAAAAGAAAAATGGCCATTTGTTATGATTGCTAAGATTAAAAGAATTACAACGTCGTATCATTGGATTCCTGAACAGGAGAATGATGTAATATAATGGAAACAGCCGTGAGATTTTCTCTTGCGTCCTGGACAAGACTGGACAAGACTGGACAAGTTCAAACAAGTCAGTAACTGGTAACCCAAACACCGGGGTTTCAAATAAAATCCAGTTTTTCTTTCTTGTTCTTATGTTGAGTATTGGGATATGCCATTTAACTTACTGCTTATCTTTATGTTAAAAGCACATTTTCTAGGGAATTCATCCATGACATAATGTTCACACATTAATTCAAGTTATATCATCGAAATGGTGATTATGTCATACCAACAGAGGTAACATGTAGGTTCGACATGAACCTAAGGAGCAATGGATTATAAGCACTCCTCGCTAATTATTCAATCACTTTTTGAAAATATGAACCGGCCTTAAGTAAAAGTAGTAATATTTTGTTATTAGTGCGATTTATCCATGACGTAATGTTCACAATGTGATGGTTATGTCACACTAGTAAGTCCTGTAAAATGAACATGTGCTTGTACGGTAATACGCCTGAAACTCCTAACCTACTCATTACTCAAGGTATTATACCTGATATTCAAAATCTCTTCTGCTCCTGTTTCGAAATGATCTAAGGGTTGTTAGTCATTCTTCTTTGCGTCAGAACTTTCACTTTCTACTTTCACTTTCTACTATTTGCTTTATCATGTTTTCCGGAAGGAAAATACGCCATTCAAACGGCAGACGATTTTGATTCCTTTCAATTCTTGCAGACAGAGAATATTTCGTTACAGCAATGTTTTTGGCTTTATAGAATTTGGCAGTTTATATTAATCACTAGTTTGACGAGCGATGATTTTGTCTCTGCTTGTGATTTGTCACATTTTAGAATAGCTTGGATTATAGTTTTGATATAGGAAATTGGCCTTCACTAAACAGTGCAAACTCGAGTCAGAGGCAACATGTAGAATGTAGGTGCAGTAATATTTTTTAAATAGTGCGATTCTTCATTTTGCACCTGCCCAAAACGTTTTATGTGCGTTAAATTTTAAGACAAAAAACACTGCAACTAAGCTGAACAATTCGCCAAATTTTAAGCCTTCAAGTTCTCTTGGACTATCCAACAGCGTAGTATATAAGGTTATTATCTGTCAATGAGATTCCTGATAATTCAAGATGTATAAATTTATAGAATTAACCTCATTGTACATAGAAAGTTTTAAAGTTATATGGGCAGGATGACTGGGGCTAGTTGATGTGTATCGTGTATATAACCTAAAGTGACTAAAGCGACTCAATTCCAAATTTCAATCTATTGAGGGATTGTGATCAACTTGATGTCATATTTACAGTGAATATTTTTATTAACAGTACAACTACGTGCAGACTGTAGAGGTTACAAAAAACCACTTTTATATTTACTTCTTCTGTTCGATTTAACTACACAGTGAGCGATGCCATTTGGTCAGCGATACACCTCATATAATAACGGACAATAGGGCGTGAAATGTGAATTATAGTTTCTACTTGTTTTAAGAATAAGTGATCTTAGCAAGGTATTCGACACAAAAATAGCGAATTTCTCGCAACCAACTAGTCAAATATAATCGCTTTAGGTCACGACTATTCACAGCCTAACATCGTGCTTCACGACTTTCTTGATGAAATATAAACTCTTATATACTTATCCTGATAAGAATTCTGGCAAGTGCTCCAACCTAGCTACCATCCTACAGTCTAATATTTGTTAAATTACGTAGTCCTGATAAAAATGTGATAAAATTCCATTTTCTTTGTACTGTCACAAAATAATGTTCGTTTCTATTCGTAGTCCTTGGAATGGACACTGATAGAATCACCACCAAAGCTAAAGTAGAGTACCGGATCAAGAAAATCGAAATAGAAGGTCTGTTTCTTATATAATAGATAATTATTGAATATCTATAATATCAAATATCGATTGAATTTTTTAAGAAATCAGTAACTTACTCAGCCAACTACAACTCAGGAAAGTGAATTTGTTGTTTTCAGGTAAGGAAGTTATAGACACTATCATTATAACGTACGATGATGATAGTATATGGTCTTACGGTTTAGGAGGGAGAAAATCCCACCAGAAGACAATAATCTTCTCAGGAACTGAATACTTGGTAGGTGTACTGTTGTACTTGTAAGATTAGGAATAAGTGTCGATTAAAAAACTAATTAAAATTTAAACTTCTAATTCTTAGTCTTACTTTTTAAATTTATAAACTGACGGTATCACCGAATCGTTTTGTCTTGTCAGGTACGAGTGACCCACGAAACACTGGTAAACAGAAGATGGGCAGGAGCGGCACTGGAGCTGGAGACAAACCGAGGCAGAGTGTTCTCCTTTGAGCCCGTATGTTCGAGTACACCCAAACACAAGCGCACCACTATAACAGCTGAACCTGGGATGGAGATACTATCTTTACAGATACGGTCAGGTGCTCTGGTGGGGTATGAGCAGCAGCCGTGTAGAGAGGAGAGTGTAGCTGTTGAAGAGTGGTATAGTGTGCTTTATCAGGGAACCAAGGAAGATGGGGTGGAGGTGAAGGAGTTCTCAGAGAAGCAGGAGGCGGTGAGGTGGTGGCAGGGGATCAGGGACAAGTGTAGACAGAAATCAGGGCGTGGAGCCTTGTTTCTTGATACCAAGAGGAACACGATACTGAATAAGACAGGATCTGAGGTTATAGGGGTCACGAAATCCTCTCCGAACCTCCACGTGGTGTGGCCTGGTTGGCACTAACGGGTGGTGTGCTCTCTTGTTGAGTACAAAGGTTGGGCCTTGCCAACTCAAAGTTCCCATAGGAATCAGGAAGTCAACACTAACAGCTACCAAGCACCAGGAAATTTCTCTTTCAGATATCAGGTTACAAGATAGTACACACACAAATGACGATACATTAGACACAGATACCTAGCTCTAAGAGCTACTAAATCACCAGGAAATTCTCTTTCAGCTTTCAGGTCCCATCTAAGTCACCCACCACAGAGCTAGGGATTCCAATTCGCTCATCCTGACTACAAGGACACACTGATAATGAGTAGTCCTGGCACTTCTCCCTCCAGTAACCACTTTTCAGGTCTTTTCAGTTAAGACAGCTAATGCGTAAGGGCTGACACACGCTAGACACAGGCTCGTGATAAGACAGAATTAGGGATTTAAACTCTGACTACGAGGACACACTGATAGCGAGAATTCCTGGCACTTCTTCCTCCAGTAACCACTTTTCAGGGGACCGGGTTAGCTTTGCCACACTCTTCATTGAAGTGTGACTGGACGCTCTACAATCATCTAGTAGCAGCAGAGTTTGACTGACACCCTTACTGGTTCTATTCAGTTTCTACAGCGGAAGATCTCAACACTCGAAAACAGTTCATCTCGGACATCCTGCAGAGCTGCTTTTTCACAGCTCAGCCTGCCCCATTACACGGGGAACCCTTAGATCTACAGTACCCTGGTGGCGAGCATAGCTCACTAAAGCATAGTGGACCTCTTTAGTTCTGAGACGCAAAGCTATCCGGATCAGGAATAAACATCAATGCAATGCTTAGGGGATGCAAATAGAACATACAATGTTTATCGAATGCATTACTCAATCTTTTGATTCATTTTTTTAGCTCGACGTTACATGGTAACATTTCAGGACTGACATTCCTCCTTCAGGTTAATTGAGGAAATCATACCCGCTATTTGCGTTATACATGGCAAGTATCTGGACTTATGATAACTTAGGATCTCCATCAATCATAAATTCCTCTCAGATTCCCAGGCTGCATTTATAGCGCTTAACAGCACCAGTTTTAACTCCAGGTTCGTTCTGAACATCTCAGACCAACTCACTAGGTATTCACATCGAGTAGGACTTCGTTCCAGGACATTAAGGAGTATACGGTAAAGAACTAGCGGAAGAATTCGCAAGGGACGATCAATCCAACAACATCCCCATAGGACCAGAACCCTTCCTCCCAAATAGGCCACACTCAGTGACAAAGGAACATTCCACTTATGATGTTCCTCCACAAATTAAATACAGGAACTTTTATTTTTCTGGAACTCACATCAGATGGCTAACATGGTCCCTTTCAGAATAGGTCACAGCCCACTAGTTTATTTTCAGAACGTGGCAAACAACGTCAACTTCAAGACGCAAGATTGCGAACACTTTTCAGGAGAAGCAGCAACATCCCAGCACCTCCTCTACAAGTGCATCCAGATCATGACGTTCAGAATGAGGATAATTGGTAAACTCTACCTTAACAACAGTAAACTACATCATATCTTCAAATTTGTGGAACAGTCGACAAGACTGGATAGGGAAAACCCTTTTGGGTAACCTCCTTGGATTCTTCACCAGGAACTTTCGCTAAATCCCATACTAGGAACTCAACCTAGGCCCATCTCCGCATAGAGACATATCTCCCAGGCTTTGACCTTGCTCGGAAGTCCCTTGTCTACCCGCAGAAGTACTACAACGGAAGTGGGTTTGCTCTGAGACAGGTAGTGACAGCTTCAAGACTCCAGGGGTCTGTTGCATTGATATTTATTATTTTATGATTTCGTATATACTTTGGGAGTCCTGGCGTGCAGCTAGCAGGAGTTGCATTCTGTGGGCACGGTGAGAAGGCCTCCATCTTAACGTAAGAGGCCAGAAACCGTTGACCAGAACAGAGAGAGAGAGACAGGATCTGAGAAAATCACAGCATATCTGATGTCTGAGGCTGAGAGGAAGGGAATGTACGTGACTATGAAGGAGAATGCTACTAAGCTATCCGTATCACTATCAGGTATGTTCTCTGGTATTTATAAAGCTCTCAGCACTAGAGGACAAGCGATCAGAATGCTCATTTTAATATCACTGCTCCTGTGCGGAAGCATTGTGGACTTGGAGATCTTGAGTTTGACCGGCCAGCTTTTATCCGTCATCTCTGACAACACTACTGCTGACAACCAGAGCTTCTACGGGAATGTTCTCTGTCAAACTGTGCTGGAGTGCAGTACCAGGTTTGAGCACATCAGGGCAATGCTTATAGGCTTCGTTTTTATGGTTCTACTGGAGCAGATCATGGTCCTTGGGAAGTATTATTTAGAAAATCTAAGCTTGCAAGGCATAACGGGTAATTTGAGGACCCAGTCTTTGGAGAAAGCGCTGTCCCTGCACAAGGGATATCACGACTCACACACCACCGCTGAGGTTGCCTCTGTAATGGGAAGAGCAGATTCCATGACCTATTTAGTTACATTCACTATCCCTTCTGCAGTGTCACAAACATTTGGTATACTTGCTTCTGGATTCTATTTAGTGAAAGCTGATATTATGATCGGGACAACGGTTATTATATTGACAGTGCTTTATAATATTGTATATCTTATGCCAGCCAGGAGAAAATCTATGAGAATAATGCGGGCTCAAGATAAACTGAGCTGTGGAGCAGAAGAGCACAAAGATGAGGCTCTGTCCATGATGTCTACCGTAAAAAACTTCTCCCATGAAGCACTCCATGTTGAAGAGCAGCGAGTAGCAGAAAAATGCTCGGCTTCTAATGATCTGACTATTGTGCTTTACAGAATTCTGGATACATTATTTATGCAGAGCTTCAAATATTTCCTTCTAGCATTCTTGATGGCTTACGAATTAACAGCATCGGAATCCGTATTCGGACCAGGAGAATTCATGACATTTTACTTAGTGTTTAGTAAATTCCAGGAGCAGTTCAGTTGGTTTGACTATCAAATAAAAGATATTCAGAAAGGCTTGACTGCAGTGGAGAGCTATGTGGAGTTCATGTCGACACCATGCGAGGTAGTCTCCGGAAGCGAGACAGTAGCTTCTCTGGAGGAGGACATACAGTTTGAGGATGTTCACTTTGGGTATCCCGCCAGGATAGGGGAGAAAGTCTTATCGGGATTAGACCTTAAAATACAACGCAAGAAGATGACCGCTCTCGTAGGAGACTCTGGTGCTGGAAAGTCGACAATAGCCAAGCTTCTGATGAGACTCTACGACCCCCAGCAAGGTAGGATCACAATCGGTGGCAAGGACATCAGAGACTACGATTTAACAGGGTTACATGGAAAGATGACCATCGTAAGTCAGGACCCCACTCTTATGAACTCCACTATAGTGGAGAATATTTCTTACGGAGCAGCATCCCCAGATGAGATCACCATGACGCGAGTTAAAAAGGCTGCTGAATTGGCTAACTGTGACTTTATCAACAAGTTCCGCAGCGGGTTAGACACGTTTGCGGGTTCGCAGGGTTTACAGCTTTCGGGAGGACAAAAGCAAAGGGTAGCGATAGCCAGGGCGGCAATGAGAGATCCCGAGATTCTGATATTGGACGAGGCGACCTCTGCTCTGGACGCTCAAAACGAGAAGGAAGTCCAGGAGGCACTGGATAAGCTGATGAAGGGCAAGACAACCATAGTGATAGCTCACAGACTGAGTACTATAAGACAGGCAGATGAGATTATCTGTCTGAAGGACGGGGAGGTTAAGGAGAGAGGGACACACGATGAGCTGATGGGGTTGGGAGAGTACTATGCTAACCTGGTCTCCAAACAACTGGTCGAGGATAATTGCAAGAAAATGGAGGAAAACGCTTGATCTGGAAATGAAGTGAAGCGTCTTCTTCAGCAAGTATCTCAGGAATTAGTCAGGCAAGAGAGCCAGTCTAAAAATAATCAACTTACGAATGAGAAAGACTTATTCAGTGAGAAATGTTCACAAGTTGGAGATAACGGGCCTTTGTTTGGAGATGCTGAGATAGATGAGAATAACTTTGGCCCATCCAAGGAATGACCTATTCAAGAGTAGCGCCAATATCTTTTTATGTCAGAGATTATTTACGTCAGATTAAAGTGCTGTTTTTTCGGTTTTAAAAAACTTAGTTTTATTTCATCGAGAAAGTATTGCCAAGAACTCAAAACCAGACAGATATTAACACTGGCATCAAACGATCGATCCTTTAGTAGCCGGGATGATTTCTTTTTGATTTTTTGTCAAAAACGGTACTTGAATAATATGAATATGTTATGCATTTGTGTGTAAGTAGAATGTAAGTAGAAGAATAACAGAGATATTTGAGAAACAATTTGATTCAATTGTATCGTATTCCATTCTATTCTATTATGTTAATTACAATAATATTTTGTATATTATTCTATTTTGTTTTCAAAAAAATGCTATTCTATTCTAATTCATCTGAAATAAAATTAACTTCGTATGTTGAGATTACCTAACAATGTTTGGATGTCGGAGCTGCTCCTTTATAATATTAGATTCGTTCAGTATGTCTCCAATACATCTCGTCCTCTCTTTTGTTGTCGCGCCAAACCCCGGATGTTGAAGTGAAATCTAAAAATATTAAAACGTATGTATTAGTATAGTGACTACTGTTTAGTTGACGCTTTTATTGTTACAATCTCAGGTTCATCGACAATATCTTTAAAGAAAATATTACAAATAATCGATGGCGCAGTTATTAACACAATTATTTGCTCACCTCTTTCATTGCCAGAGTGGTGGCTTCATCATGGGAACCAGATGTCTTTTTTACCTGGTGAGGAATTGTATTTTAATAGGTTTAATTCAAACAATTTGAACAGGTATTCAAACAATTCAAACAATTTTTAATGTCAGAGACGCTTTGAACTGATGGTTTTGTCCTGGCAGATAAAAGTGCATTATGGAGTAAAATATAGCAATAAACATGATAATAAAATAGAAAAAGTACCTTGTAGACAGTTCCAAAAGCTCCAGATCCAAGGTGCTCCAAGACAGCATAAGATCCAACGTAGAACATTGGGGCTCTGTGTTGGTTAGTGTTGTGTATCCGACACTTTATCTTGTTCCTTACCTCCTCCTGGGAGGGGCGCTCAGGTTTAGGTGACAGTGACAGTGACAGTTACGGTGACGGTGACAGTGACAGTGACAGCGACAGTGACAGTGACAGTGACAGTGACAGTGACAGTGACAGTGACAGTGACAGTGACAGTGACAGTGACAGTGACAGTGACAGTGACAGTGACAGTGACAGTGACAGTGACAGTGACAGTGACAGTGACAGGTTTCTACAACATTGGGGCTCTTTGTTGGTTGTTGATGTGTAACTGTATACTTTTTCATGTTCCTTACATCATCCTTCAAAAAAAAGTCAGCTAAAAGTTGAAAGTTACTGACAAAACCAGCAATATGCTGACTTACTGTGATATTAATATATAATCTGCATATTATTTGTTGTGTGGTGGAATGTAGAGTAAGACGGAAGCAACAGATAATACACCATACATTCTCCACACCACACTCCGTATCCAACAGAAAATCGTGTGATGCAACAAAATGTTTATCTGATTTCATTTGGCCGTCTCATGTTACACACATTGTACCAGATTTGCAATAAATCGTGCTATTTTGTTGAGAATGTTCAGTTTGCTCTTACTGCTTCTCCTACCCCTGGCCACCCCTCAAAACATCCTCATAATCCTCCTGGACGATGTGGACGACCTTGCTCCGACCCGGGAAAAAGGCTTTCCCAACATAACGGCCCACTTCACTAAGAACGGTGTGATGTACAACAACGCGTTTGTAACGACCCCAATCTGTTGTCCATCACGAGGTAGCATCTACACAGGCACCTACCAACACAACCACCGGACACTGGATAATACCGTCACTAACGGGTGTGACGGTCCCAACTGGGACAAGAACATTGCTCCGAACAGTCTGGGGAAGAGGCTCCAGGACCTGGGGTACAGGACGGGCATGTACGGGAAATACAGTAACAACTACAGAGGAGACAAGGTTCCTGTGGGCTGGGATGACTGGTTGGGACTGGTTGGGAACAGTCAGTATTACAACTACACTCTAAACAGGAACGGAGTGAATGAGGAACACGGGCTCGACTACAAGAAGGATTATCTGCCAAGTCTCATACTTGATGCAGGAATTGAGTTTATGCAGGACGACAAGTCTAAGAAACCGTGGTGCGCGTTTCTGAGTTTCCCAACAGCACACGAGTCGTTTGATGCTGCTCCACAGCATCAGAAACTGTTTAAAGCGAGCAAACCTCCGAACCTTAACTATCCTTCTTTTAACAAGACCGGTGATCCAGGTAAGTCATTTGTGCTATATATTTATATCAATCTCGTCCTGTTACTGAAATAGCAATCTGACGGATCAATTTTATGTTTCCAAAGCCCCTCTCCACTGTTTCTGTAGAATCAGATAAAGAAATTCTAATTTCATACCAGATCAGTATATTGTTCTCCTCTAAATAGTAAATAACTAATATTGGTTCAGGTAAACACTGGTACACAAGCAGCAGACCAGCCCTCAACAACGTGTCAGCTAAGTACAACGAGCAAGGCTGGATTCGCAGACTACAGTCTCTCCAGTCAATAGACGAGGGTTTCGTGAGGATCCTCAAGAAAATCGATCCTCAAAACACCACCATCATCTTCACTTCAGATAATGGTTTCTACTTTGGTGAGTGGGGCATGATCCTGGACAAGAGGCAGCCATACGAGGTGACTGTCAGGGTTCCCATGTACGCTTCCGGTCCTCTCTTCCCCAAAGGAAGCACTCAGGATACAGTGGTGCTCAACATTGATGTAGCTCCCACTGCTATTGACGTGGCTAAAAAGTCTGGAGCGGGAAAACCTAAACCTGGTGTCAGTGACGAGAACTATGGACTCCAATTTGACGGAACGTCTATGTTATCGCTTCTTGAAGCACCCAAAGCTCGCAACTCTTTCCTGATTGAGTACCACGGGATGGGGAATGGCATTGACAGCAATGACAGCTGTGCGCACATTAACATGAGATGCTGGTACAAGGACAACAAGGTCTGGTACACAGAACCAAAGTTTGATATCCCCGACGGGGAGAAGTTCTGTTTCTGCGTTGACAGCAGGAACAACACCTTCACGTGCGAGAGACGGGTTAACAACAACAATCCGGGCATTTTCACCAACTTCCTCTACTGTTCCTTCTCGTCAGGGTTTAACGAGTACTACAATCTACACAAGGATCCCTTTCAGATGAAGAACATGTGGGGAACACTTGGGGAGGATCAGAAGTGGGAGTTTAAACGTAGGATCGGTAGGATTAGGGAGTGCAGAGGGTTTGAGGAATGCAATCAGCTGGACAACTCTGGGTTTGATTCTGACAAACCGTTCAGGGACAATTTTCGATAGGTTTCATGAAGGCGATTTGCCAGAAACAATCTAATGTTCATAATTTGTTTGTTTTGTAATTTTAATTAAAGGGTATTTTGTAAATTATTATTATTGTAACTGACCTCTGAGTTGTTTATGTAGTGTATCATGTGTTTATAAGCGTCTATGTCTGTGATGTAATGGCCAACGTCGATAAACATCTCAAACAACTCCGTGGGGAAGAGCCTGAAATTAAAAACTATATGATAAACCCTTATATAAAAACACAAAACTCTACAACAGACCCTATCATAAACATCAGCGAAATGTTTATCTCTGGCTTATCCGAAGTTTATCTGTCCATTTTCCAATATGTTAGACAATGAATCGTTTAGACTTAGAATAGGTCTTTTTGCATGCAAAAGGCCTCGTACACAGTCAAGAAATGCACTTATACATATCAACACGTTTATACCTAACAAAATTTACACATTTAAGTCTCCATACACCCCACACATCAACTACAATTATCATAATCATATGTTTCTCTTCTATTCTCTCATCATGACTTACTTTCTCCCAATTCTTCTCTCCACGGTTAGGTCCATGAACACCGTATTCCCCCTAGATTCTAATATTCATTCCTCTCTACTCCTTGACAGCCCACGTTATCTTATACCATTTCTTGCTTGCTCCCACATCAAACTTTTCTTTGTAATTATCTCCTCATGGTTTATAAGAAATGTTCTTCTCCCTGGTAAGATGAATAGAGTCAAGTATTCCAGCCGCCTCAGGCGTCTAGTCTCTTTATTCATTCTTTGGGTTTTCTCTCTTAACTTTCTTTTGATAACTCTTGTTAATCCTTCTATGCTTAATCCAGGTCCCAACTCCCTATCTGTACTCTACCAAAATGTCCAAGGTCTCATTCCTTTCAGTAACCTAAGCTCCTCCCATCCCCTTCTTGATGGTAATAAGATTTCCGAACTTCAATCCTTTGCTAACATAGAGCAGCCTGACATAATTGCCCTAAATGAGACTTGGCTCAAAAAATCTATTTCTAGCAACGAAATCTTTCCTTCTTCTCAATATGAAATCTTCCGCAATGACCGCACGAGAAAGACTCATCCTCAAGATCCTAATAACCCTAAAAAGTTTAGGGAAAATGGAGGTGGTGTTCTTTTGGCTGTTCGGTCTGATCTCGACGCCACTACAACCCGACTACCAGTTAGCCTAGGTGCAGAAATGCTTGCCGTTAAAATTTCTTTTCCTAACAAAGAGAGTATTGTAATCTGTACTTGTTATAGAGTAGGAACTCTTGGGTTACCTAATCATGATGTCATAGTTAGTTATATTCGCAAGCTAGTTTCCAAAAAGAATCCCCCTAAAATCTATGTTATTGGTGATTTTAATCTCCCCCATACAGACTGGCTATCTTCATCCAGTACCGTACCTATTGAGCAATCCTTCATAGATTCTTTCAGTGATCTTTCTCTCTCCCAGTTGATCACATCACCCACCCATAAAAGTGGTAATACATTAGACATTCTTCTCAGTAATTATGATAACACAATCGATAACTTGAATGTCTGTGATCCTCATTCCGTGTGCAAATCTGATCATTTTCCTGTCACTTTTTCAATTAAAAGCTCCTTTTCCCGTAAGAAAACTCCTAAACGTAAAATCTATAATTTTAAGAAAGCAAACTGGGACATGATTAATCGTGAATTATGCTCGATTAATTGGCAAGTCCTAGAATGCCTAGATCCTGATTCGTCTTGGAAGTTAGTTAAAGACTGCATTATGAATTTAGTTGATATACATATTCCTAAAGTAATTATTAAATCAGAGTTCCAACCCCCGTGGTTCGATAGTGAACTTTTTTCTTCATGCCGTAAAAAAGATAGACTCAGAGCTAAATTTAAAATGTCTGGTTCTATTTCTGATGAGTTAAAGTTTGTTACTAGCCGTAAAGATTTTAAGAGGCTCTCATCAGCCAAAATAAGAGATAATCTTTTTAATAGTGATGATCCAGCGCTTATAACTAAGAAGTTTTGGTCACATGTTAAGTATAAATCTAACTCCTGCCGTATTCCTAATTGTGTTAGTTATTCTGGACAGCTTCGGTTCAATCCCAAAGATCAAGCTGAACTTTTCAATTCTTTCTTTTATAACCAGTTTTCGGATCCTTCACTTTATGACACTGACATCTCCTATGTCAATGATGTTGATTTTGATATTGACTTCGATCATCGGGATGTTCGTAAGCTTCTTTCAAATATTAATTCAAATAAAGCCCAGGGACCAGATGGCATACACGGTAAAATTCTAAAAAATTGTTCCGTAGGTTTAGCTTACCCTCTAACATGCATTTTTCGTGGATCCTACAACAGCGGCTACATTCCACAAGAATGGAAACTTGCAAATGTTGTCCCAATATTTAAGAAAGGTAAGAAAAGTGAGGTTGAAAACTATAGACCAATATCCCTTACTTGTTTAGTCATGAAAGTTTTTGAGCGCATTGTTAAACGTAAACTGCTTTCTTTGACAAGTACCCTTCTTGATCCCAGGCAGCATGGTTTTCTAGAGCACAAGTCATGCACAACCAATATGGTTGATTTTTGTGATAGCCTGGCATTGTCTCTTAACGAAAACATTATCAATCATGTTGTGTATTTTGATTTTGCTAAGGCATTTGATTCTGTAAATCATGATATCCTTCTTCATAAGCTAAAGACCTTATATAACATTGATGGTACACTTCTCAAATTTCTTACCAATTACCTTCAAGGCCGTTACCAAAGAGTGGTTATTGGTAATGAGATGTCATCTACCCTCTCAGTTAATTCTGGTGTCCCCCAGGGCTCTATCCTTGGTCCCTTACTTTTTGTATTGTTTATCAATGATATTCCTCTTGGCCTTTCGGATAATACTGATATTGTTTTGTATGCCGATGATACAAAAATCTGGCGTAAAATACATTCATCTTCTGATAATACCAATTTACAAATGGATATAGACTATCTCTCTGACTGGGCACTTAGAAACAAAATGCGATTCCATCCAGCAAAATGTAAAGTGCTTATTGTTTCAGGAAAACCATCTTTATCTCCTCCATTCGCATATAATCTTGATGGCTCTCCTCTTGTGTATGTAGAGTTAGAAAAAGATCTTGGAGTCGATGTTACTCCTAAGCTCAGTTGGAATAGTCAGTGCGACAGAATTTATACTAAGGCCTGCCAACAACTTGGTATGGTCAGAAGAGATGGCCATATTGTCATTGATCAGAAACGTCGCCGGGCGCTTTACCTCTCCCTGGTTCGTAGCCAATTCGAAAATTGTTCCATAATCTGGCGCCCTTGTAATAAATCACTTAGTGATAAATTAGAAAGTCTCCAAAAGAGAGCTATTAAATGGATTCTGTCTGAAGAGGGCCGCAGTTATCCACCTGAGCAATATGTCAAAAAGTGCAAGCTTGTCGACATTCTCCCTTTGTCTCAAAAGTTTGACTTGAATGATCTTATTTTTTTCCACAAAGTTCTTAACAATTTAATTCCTGTATCGCTACCTCACTATCTCTCTTTATATCAGGGCACTTCTCGACTAAGACGTTGCCACCTCGACAGTCTGTCTATTGTGTCATCAATTTTACCTAAGTTAAGTCAGAATTCACACACCACATTTACCTCAAATAGCCCACTGGCAAAATCATTTTTCTACAGAACCCATATACTGTGGAATGGACTCCCTTTACAGGTAAGACAGATTGTGTCTACTAGTCTTTTCAAAGCTGAGGTCACTAAGCATCTATGGAAATGTTTATTGGATAGTGAAACAACAGTCTAGCCTAGTCTCTTTGCTCCCCATATTATTATTATTTTTGTTTTATTAATTTTTTTATCTACCTTCCTATACTTTCAACATCATATCACACTTCGCCCGCACACCTCACACATTAATGACCATATCAGACCTGTATCTAATGTATCTGGAATTTGACGTATTGAAATACCAATTTTGACTATATATCCACAGTTATTCACCATGGATTTGTTTGTTATTAAATAGTTTTTCATAAATTTTTGGATTTAGATTAATTCGATGTAATGGGTCCAAGTTACTGCGGACATAGTTCACTATGTGTTTACCGTGTTTGGGTGCCCATCATATTTTACAGATGGGGGCGATATTTTGAACGATTCTATTTTATATTCATCTATTGCTGTACTCTGTAAAATTTGAAAAGTATTTAATAAAAAAAATCTCTAAATCTACACATAAACAAAAATAATTTCTCCTTTATCTAACCTCTTGAATAGCTGCCTGTTCCTCTCCATGGAGAAGAGGAACCTAAGTGCTCTAAGTGCACTCTTCTGCAACATTTCCAACAACAAACTCTCCTCCAACTCGTCAGTATCCACATTTGGGAGAATCAATTTACCAAGTATGTAGACTCCGTTAGCGTGCACGATGTTCTGCGCGTTCGTGTCGTTTAGAGATAGCTGGGTCAGAGCCGCGCAGCATGCTGAAAATGAGGAAACGTTTGTTGGAAATAAAGGTTAACGATAAAATTACTAATCCTTCGCGACTTAAACTGATATATTTTGAAAGAATTTCGTTGAAAGATTGAAAGAATAAAGCCGAAGAGTTGAAAGATCTTGTGATTCGTAATTTTGTATTAAGGGGTCGTTCACATATTACGTAATCAGCCGAAGGGGGGAGGGGGTTCCCAAATGATTACAGTTGATTACGGTGGGGGGATTTTACCCTCCTGAATAATAACAATTTGACAATATTTTAATTCAAATTCCACTCAATTTCACTCTGATAGGGATAAAATTTAGGCATGGAACGTAGAGAAAAGTGTTCTCCAGGGAAACAAAGTCGAAAGGGGGGGGGGGGGGGGTCAGGCCATGATTACGTAATTTTGCTGTCAGTAGGGGGGGGGGGGTTGATTACGCAGGGGGAGGGGGTAAAAATTGCTAAAATATTGATTACATAATATGTGAACGACCCCTTATGACGTCACATGATGTGATGACGTCACGTGATGTTATGAAGTCGCGTGATGTTATGAAGTCGCGTGATGTTATGACGTCACGTGATGTTATGTATGGACTGCCGTATATACTTGGGGACTATGAAGCATGATAACATTTGGTATTACACGCAATTGTCTTAAAATACCTTGTTGGTGGATTGAACATTTCATTTTCCTATAATTAGTGATTTGTCAGATGAATTTGCTTTAGTTTTTAAGTTTTCTGACAACTTGAAAGCTTAAAAATATATCATGCCTCACACAAACCGTTTTTAACGTCCTACGTACACTAAAAACCCGGTTCACCGTACAGTTTGCGGGAAGACAAAATAGTAAATTGGGGTTTTACTGTACGTGGTTTCAAGAAAAACGAAATCGTCAGGAACCTGTTCAGAGCGTGACGTCATGGTCGATATTGCCAAATCCTTATTAGAGGCCATTCTATTTCTACTGCGTGGGGTTGACTATTAAGTTTCAATAAAGGAGGTGGTTGGCAGAACCTCCTGTATTTAATTGTTATTGTTAGAATAGTATTCTACCTAATTCACAAACTTTATTATGTCATTTTATTTAAATATCACTATGATTTTAGCTAATGATAATCTACAAGCACTTACCTGAGGACCCCAGGCTATAATGTTCATACACATATAATAAAGATTCCGCCGAATAAAGAATGATGAATGAATGAGTGCGACCCAGTAAAAAAGCACCTGCTCAAATTGCCTTTTAAATTCGATCATTAAATCGATTCAATGATTTCTCTCCTAACAGCAGAATAGGCATTAGTGCCATAATATATTTGATTTTGTTGCCATCACAAATATACATATACTAATTATACAGTAACAAGTACCTTACTCGGGATTATTATGACCGGGATAAAGTGGTGGGTTTAGGGTAATTTCGCCATATTTTTCCCGAACCACATTTTCACCGGTCGTTAATAAACCCGCCTACTCAGCTTTTAGGGTTCCCAAGGGGTATGGGTGCTCATATTTTAATCGTTGTCTTATATTCACTAAAGAAGACTATTGGGACACTTGTTGTTGTAGGTTTTTCGACTTCATTTGGCTAAAATTGCAAAAAATTCACCTTTTTGCCCAATTCTTGTCATATCTCTCGTACCGAAGATCTTTACGGTAACCTTAACGAGCAGGATTTGAACTTGATTAGACTTTCATGCTCAACCATCAGAGAAATGTACAGTCTGAACCTCAAGCACAAAGACAGCCTTCGTGATGAAGATGGAAAGTAGTCCTTCAGCCAGCTCTCTTCTGCTTTTCTCGTTCTTTCTTTCCTTCTCCTTCTGCTTTGGATCTGTGACGGATGCTATGAGCGACTCTTGGGACTTTCCGTCCCTACATGGGCTTCCGGCCGTGCGTCCATGTAGGAACTGTGGGGCCTACATTTTGAGAATCATTTAATTTTCGATTGGAACTTAACCGAATTAAGACCTAGTGTGTGTGTTTGAGCGATTTGTACAACATTTCTGTAATGTTTCAAATTATATTCAAATGTTCTAAAAAAATGTTCTATATCCTTATTGTTAAATTTGATTTAAATAGGCAAATTTTTAATTTCTTAGGTATTGACTATCTCTACATAATGAAATAGGACTCAAAGTAAAAGTAACAGTTAAATTAAAACTTGAATTAATTAAAACTGATGAAAGAGATGATCCATATCAAGATAACGAAGATGATTACAACTTATTGGAAGAATAAACAGCTCTCCCTTTATCTTAACTAGCAGGAACCCGTATAACCCTAAAATGGTGTCAAGACTCAAGAGACTAAAATAATTATTACCTATTTAATTCGCGTTTTTGACACCACTTGGGGGTCCAAATTTTGGGCTCTAAAACTCTTATTCCTTGGCCAATTTTTTATTTTTTCATGCTGATTTGAAAAGCATAAAAGCATTTGACCCAGTCAAAAAAGTTTCAGTTGTATATCTTTTACGGTTTTTGCGGAAAGTCGCGTTAAAGTTGATGCCGTGGTGTCAGTAAAATGGCACAGATATATATATATATATCGTCTCGCTTTATATATAGTAAGATATCGATCTGGTCGTTACGCTTCAAATGTTAAAAATTATTTTCCATCTAGTTTGATTAACCACGAGTCATTATTTCTGTCTACTTTCAACAATTATTGATAATTCTACTTGTTTCACAAGTTTTAGCAATGCGAAAATTTCTAAACTTGCTTATCTCTAATAAGGAAATTTACATCTGAGACAAAATTTTTGAATCTAAAATTGAAAGGTTGGACACCGGTAAAATGGCGACCGGGAAAATGTGGTGGGTTTTGAGCAATTTCGCCATATTTTTCCCGAACCATATTTTAACCGGTCGTTAATAAACCCGTCGTAATAATCCCGAGTAAGGTAGTATATTTCGTGAACTCTCGCTCAATTAAAGGTCTATGTAGCAAATTATTTGCAGCTGACAAACCTGGTAATGAACACACCTGGCTCAGATTTGTAATCTTTGACAATAAAAAGCGCGAGTGTAATTTTTCTTTGCCAATTATACATAGTGTACATGACTACATGTGGTAAGCCAGTTTCTGTGCAATTCGAAATTGCATCGATTAATATTTTATTTTTGTTATTTTTTATTTAGGGGTCGTTCACATATTACGTAATCAGCGGAGGGGGAGGGGGTTTAGTTCCCAAGTTTAGTTCCCAAATGATTACGGTGGGGGGAGGGGGGATTTGGTTGTTGGTTACGTAATCAACATTTTATTTTTACCCTCTAGAATAATAACAATTTGACAATATTTTAATTCAAATTCCACTCAATTTCACTCTGATAGTGATAAAATTTAGGAATGGATCGGGTATCCGGCTGCTAAAGTAAGTAGTTGGGAAGGTGCTTGGCCGGGTATCAAAACAATGATTACGGCTCATGATGATCAGGGTAGCATGGAACGTGAGAAAAGTGTTTTCCAGGGAAAAAAGTCAAAGGGGGGGGGGGGGGGGGGGGGGGGGGGTGGTCAGGCCATGATTACGTAATTTTGCTGTCAGGAGGGGGGTGGGTCTTGATTACGGTTGATTACGGAGGGGGGAGGGGGTAGAAATTGCTAAAATATTGATTACGTAATATGTGAACGACTCCTAACAATAAAACTTACCAGTTTGTAATTTGATGGACTCGTATCTGCTGACAGTGTTTTTAGAGACAGGAGATATGGTGCCATTCTCCTCGATGTTATCCGTGCTGTATGTACCGTTACTTCTCGCACTTCCTCGCTTTCTGCTGTGCTGGTCTCTGCATCAATGTTGGCATTGTTATAAAATATGTGAGTTTAGCGACAAGACCATGTCACAATTAAGGTGCTGTACCTTAACCCAATTAAGTGTATCCTTAGTCCATGTGATTGTGATTCACTGACAGACACGAGTAATTACTAATTGGTTAATGGTTAGTCCATCTTCAATTAAAAATGCCGACACTATTAACAGACTGCTTGCCCAATTAATGTAGCAATACTACAGATACAACAGGCAACAGTAATCGGATCTTGTCACAACTGCTCCTGTTCACGTTCGATTTCCCAAGATCCTAATCACATGATCCAATCACGTGACTGAGTGACCTGATCACGTGACTGACCTGTAGCCTGATCACGTGGGGCGATTCTCACAGTTAACAGGCCATCAGACCCCTCACCTCCTCATCATATAAATACCCTGATGACTTCGTCACCATATCGTCACTTACTTCGTCACAATCTGATTACAACAACAACTCTAACAACACAATGTCTCACGGATTACTCATCACAGCTGCTCAGGAAGCTGATGTTCCAACCAGTCCTTATCTCACTACACCAGATAGCCCTGGTCAAAGTAGCAAGTTCGACTGCGTCTTCTCTCAAGACGGTCTCCTGACCTCCACTCCTCCTGCTACTTGGAGCAAGGTCCTCTCTCCTGTAAACTACTCTTCTGATGACAGCGCTTACTTTGGGTCTCCTCCCCCTACCCCCGGAGACAATAACACTTTCACTGACGTCCCTTCAATTAATCTCGCTTACCATCCTACTGCTCAGTTTAAACCAGATGATTTACCTAACACCACTTACCAACCTTCATATCCTAACTCAGCAAATCCAACAACTTTCCCGATCCTACCAAATGACCTGATGGATTTCTACCCTGCTAACTACCAAGTGGACCCCAAGTACCCGCTGAACCAGCCATATACTCATCAGTCCGAAACTCCTTACACCCACCCTGCTTATCTGGAGAATCTACAGAACAAGATCATGAGGAGGAAAGGCTCAGCTCGCTGTGACAAGGAGAAGTCCACTCTGAACTACCTGAAGACACTGGCTAGAGAGGAGCAATACGAGGAGATGTTCGTTATTATCTCCAACTTCCAATTCTCTGAGAGAAATCACTCCTGGTTACAGACCCTGTGGTTGAGAGGTCACTACGCTAGAGAAACTCAGAGACTTGGTCGACCACTGAACCCAGCCGACAGGCTCAGACTCCGCAGACTCCAACCCTTCCCCCAAACCATTTCTCAACCTGACGATTACGAAAGTCAGAAGTTTGCTAAAGACTTCCTCAAAGTGTTCTACGGTATCAACGAGTATCCTTCTCCCGGCCAGAAGATGATGTTGTCCACACGGTGCCGGATGACCTATCACCAGGTTAACAGCTGGTTCAAGAACAGGAGAGCTAGAGACAGGGAGGCACCCGAACTGGTCAAGGTGTCCCCTCAGCAGTTAGATGAGACGCTGGATATTCTCATGGACATAATCAAGTCCGATGAAGAAGTGATAGAAGTGATAGAAGTTTGAGGACGGTATAAGGGATTGTTTTCTGAATTGTCTCAATTTTATGAGACTTTGGTATATTAAGAAATATAATTGTTTAATATTTCTATTTGATGATTATTTTGATTTACCAAAATACCAGCCTTTACTTTCTTTATGAAATACAACAATATTGGAACTAACTGTATAAGAGTAATAAGGAGAGGAATGCCGCCCAACTCTCGAATGTCGTTGCTACTATCGTTATCACAACTCAACCTCTCCACTATAGACACCTGATAACGAAATAAACGTTTTATCGAAGGCAACTTCCTAGATTTTCCGACATCAAATTTGGCTATTTCTGTAACTTGTAGTAGTGCCATTACATAGGTAAAAGGAAATTGCCAAGACTCCTTAAAAACGTTAGAAGAGGCATATCTGTGAATTATCAAGCTGTTCTGTCAGACTATTTAATAACTACTCTCTGTTCTAAAACTTCACTAAGATATGTGACATATTACTCACAATGTTGAACTGCAAAACCAGATCGTCCTCGTGCAAAACGCTGAAAATACATGTTAGGTAGATCTTATGTCTGATACATGACTTTCCTTCTCGGTATACCGATGACGGAAATCGGTCAGGATTTTACACTTTCAGAAGATTGTCAGAACAAATCACCAGAAGTCTTTACCAGTTTAAGGTGAATTTCTTAGCGATAACTTCCCCGACTGTCACAAATAAACTTATTTATTTGCTTAGCATTGATCATCTTACCTTAGGCAAAGAGGAATCCCGTCAAAAACCTTCACGTGTTCCTTCACATGATCTAGAGAACACAGCTGTCTCAACAGTTCTGAAGATAGCCTGCGGATTTAAAGTGTCAGATTGAAGTTATACATCCTTTGGTGGTGCCGACCCCAATTGAAATTCGATCCAGTTTAATTGGCGCACGCTGTGGCTGTCATGTCACGTCTAGAAATACATGCATGCTTCTTTCTCTATCTCGCGTGGGATGAGCACTAGATTCGCGCGTTGTGCTAGTTCGTGTGCGCAACAAATCAATTACTGATATTAAGGCGCGTTCCGTATTTCTAGCAAAACTTGCGCCACTTGTCCCGTAGTTGACAGTCTCTTGGTGGCCGAGGTGTATTATCTGATCAATCAATATTGAAATATAAGGCAGCTCAACAGTGTTTGAAGCTGGTGCCTAATTTGCAAATTTGAAATTGCACTCGAACTTTCGAAGAATAGATTGCACATTTAGGCAAAAATGTACACTACAGCCAATCACAGAAGGTGCGATGTAATCAAACCACTGTAAACTTTATATTACCGTCAATGAGACAGAATGTTCAAACGTACTCTTGCCGTGTACATTACACTTACTGTTTAGTAGTAGGATTAGAATAATCCTGTACGATATGAAGCAGTGTCTCTACACAGTTAAGTTCACCTATCACAACTCTTGCTTGTTCGCTGAAGAAGCAATGGAATTAATAGAAATACCACTTCAAAATGAGATGACATTGAAGAGAATTCCTGTTAAAAACAGTAACAACATCTCTCTCTAACAAGCAGCTGCCTAACAATATGTGAACATGCCCGAACCTGCGAGCGAGGTCAATGAGAGCGTACAGAGCACAGTTCAGGACTGAGAGATCTCGAGCACAGAGCAGGAGTACGAGACTGCGGGGAACATCACACGCTGTCAGCCACAGTCTCTGACTTGGTTCTACTGACAACTTCTGGAATATGTCTGAAAATTATCTGTTTTAGGGTTCTGATATTTTAAAAAAATTAAAGTTAAAAGTTTTGGAACGTTCGCGAAAAGTCTAGAATCTCTTGTGATCTGCCAAAATGTGTCTTCGGTAAATACCGTTGAATTCAAATTGGCACGAACACAGTTAAATAGACAGTAATCTAGTAATTTAATGAATATAAAGAACAGCTCTATAATCCTAGAATTTGTCTCACTTGTCATGACTTTAAGGACTTCAATACCCATTACTTTGTCCTCAAAGTTAAGGTAATCTCGTGTCACGGTTTGCAGGATCTGTAAATAAAGTACTTTGTAAGTAACTTGTAAAAATATATTAATAAAGAAGCCAGGAGGACTGAGTTACCTGAATCATCGAGACAAAAGATAGCACAGTTCGTAGGACACGCTGTTTAGTTGTAGAACGTTTTTTAGGACACGCCCTAAATATAAAACGGTATTTCTGGATCACCACAACGTAATAACCTCTCTGAAACTCATCACCAGAAGGAACAGTATTTAAACACTATGACGCCACATGTACATAATGTCGTCACGATCGCCCCCTCACAAACATTACATCACATCTCAATATCACGTGACACACCACCTCTCTAACTCTCCATTACTTATTTGATACATTGTGTAATGGGTCACGTGTCCCGTGTAGAGATTGCGCTGATGATAGTGTAGATTCGCAAGCAGCTCTACAACACACTGATTACATGTTACTGGCACCGTGTGATTTGTAACGTGTGCACTGTGGCCCCACTGTGGGTGGTGATCTGCCTCACAAGCAGGCATATTATTAATTATTACACTTTTAAAGCAGTTCACGGGCTGAATTTTTAACTTATTTTTCATTTTGTCTGCCAATCAGAGTTATAATAATAGCGCCGCGTACGTGAATCACACTTGCAGTTAAGTCAGTGCATGTAGAAATGTTAGTTATTGTTGGTTGGTGGAGACTCAACAAGGCACGCTAGTGTCGGGATTGGATGCTTGATCACTTGATGTTAGACAAAATAAGATAATAAGATTACAGCTCAACATTTACATGAACATTTCATATTGTACATTCTTAATGATAACCACCATGAGAAAAATCTTAACCGGGGAAAATAAGTTTTGTTAAAATACATTTCAGGTATTATTGCTATAAAATACAAAAGTCAGGTGACAAATCGGTGCTATTGTGTAGCATTAATCGCACTGTAAATTTCATTTAAAGGATACAGATTATGGAACATTATACGTAGAAAAGAACAAGTGGTCAGGTAGCTAACTGCTAAATAACTTAATGTAACTTGTAATTGTGCCCGAATTTTAACTGTTAACCAGAGAAACCCCAGCAATTTTAGAAATAATTAAAGAGAGCGTCATAATTATCGGGAACTTAACTGTCGCAAATTTCAAGATCAAACCCGAACAAAGTTCACAACCTACGCGTGAGTCCCCAACCCCCGAAAGATTGACACAAAAACCTGATAATTTCGGGACTTCAATCTTGCTAAGATGCGTTACTAATGTAGATGATTTAATGTAATGTAATTTAGATAATTCTTTAGACATTTTGGGACATTTTAGGCTCTATTAATGTAATTACTGTAAGAATGTAATATAGAACTGTCCTCATTACAGTAGCTATAAACTACACCTGGGACAACAGGAGAAGGCAAAGAAAATGAGATTATGTATCAACAAATATGCTTCGAATCGAAATTACGGAAATCAGAAAAATCAGTGCTCGATGGAATTTGGATTAACGAATAAATTAATAAATTTCTTCGAGTATGAAAGAAGATAGGTATATTATTATAACCATGATACCAAAAATCGACCAATCCTTTTAATCTAATCAATGAGGACACGAAATAAAAATTAAAATACACATTATCCCATTTTCGGTCATTCTTACCTTAGAAAGAATCTTCACTCCTCCAAGATGGAACAGTTCTCGCTGAAAGATACAATGATCAATGATGACTGTAATATTTCAAAAGAGGTATTCCGATATTCTGTTCTCGGGATTGCAATAATTAATACTTTAAAAGAGGGATTGTGATATTAATACTGAGAATTATATTATGGTCAACCCAGGTTGAACACTGCAATATATTATGTGCATTATTGTGTGCATTATTATGTGCATTATTGTGTGCATTATGCAACTCAAAAAGATATATTACTTTGAAATACTCGCTCTTTAAAAACCTGATATGTAGCATCCCTGATGAATATTTTTATCCATATCAGAATTCTGAGGAAGTACTGGGACTGATAGTACTCTGAATTTGTTCCAGTTATTTCTAGCCTATGCTTTACCAATCCTTCAAACACCTGTATTGTTTTGCGTCAGTATTTTGTTGGTTAAGAAGAAAAAACCTTCAAATGTTACAAATTATGACACAGCCATTTACAAATATGGTCAATTTTCAAAGTATTCTTTCTAAAAGTTGGTATACAAGTTATCGTTTTTTACCTCAGCCAAGTCTTCATAAAGTACATGGGTGGATAGGTTTCTTTCATTAACACACTTTCTAGAGAGATTCTCAAGTAGCAGAGATTCAGGGGAATTTAAAGACCACTTCACTTCCTTTAGTACACTCCCAAGTTGCCTGAGCTCTTCCCTGAAGAGTGAAGTTGAGTGTCATGATTTCCATGGGGTTTGTTGTTATTTTACAATTCATTTACAATTTACAACTATTACGAAAGCTTCAATTAAAATATACCTTAGCATAATACACTTCTGATAAAAATTTTATGCTTTAATGATTTTTACTTATGCACAAGTAAAAATCATAATAAGTAAATCCTTATGGTTGATAAATACTACGGTACCTTTCAAGTGGTTGATCATCGACCTCCCCATTCTGACCAGCCAACATGAACTAAAATACAGAATTAAAAGCATTAAATTACTTTGTAATCATGCCAGAAGAAGAAGAGTGAGCATTACTAATTTAAGAAGTATTAAATTGTACCTATAACTATGAGCACACTCATGAGGTCAAACAGCAAAAATACCATAACTTTCGAATTTTGAATATTAGAATTATACTGTTAAATAAAAAACATGCATCATCATGTTATTGGATCTGTGGCTTAACTCATTGGAAACTATATATATACATTATACAGTATACATACTATGGTTAATGGTTATATACTATAAGGTGGGCCGTTAATAAATATAATAAAAACTAAGTCATATCGTCTGATATTTCTGAAAACAATTGTCGTATAAAATGCATTGATATGGATAATAATAAATAACGACTTCAATTTGAATAAAAACGTCTGGAAAATAAATTAATAACTAAATTATTTTAGGTCTAGCAACATGAAGCGGCTGAGCGCTCTCCATCTCACTGTAAAAAGCAATCTGATCATTGAGACTTTCATGGGCACATTTAACTTGATCAATGTCCATGCCATCAACATTAAGATAGTGGTGTAAATGAGCTTTTCGTGAGAACAGTTTGTAGAATCTACTTCTCAGGTCCTCAAATGTGTACTTTATAGACGTGTTGTTTGCCAGAGAAAGAATGGAATACATTTGTTTGATTGGTGGCACAGAACATAGCCCAGTCTTCCAACCATCTTTGTTCCAGTAGATAAACTTGGTGCAATCAGATAACCTGTCAACATTTCTCCTGACATCTGAGACTTGCAAATTTCCTCTAACAAGAAGAGCACAAGACAGAAAAGTTCCTTTTCGAAGATCAACACGGCAGAGCTGATTATGGTTGGAAAAAACATCAGTGAACATAGCATCAAGATGTCTTGGTTGTGAAATTTTTGGGGAATACAGGGGAGCAATTGCAGGAACCAAATAGTTTGCTTTTGGAAAAGGAACAAGGTTCATACATATCTCATTGATGTCAACATTCATGCTACCATCAAATCTAGCAGATGCTGTGATATCAAGTATCACTTTAGCAACAAATGAATTCATTCTATTAAAAGCCTTTTCTTTAGTCTCTGTAACGGTATGTTTGATGTTATCTACTTTGGCTGAACCTAACTGCTGACATATTGCAGAAAGGGATTGGTTTTCCACGGGCATAACACAATTCCCGTGTTCAGATATCTGTTTCATTGCAAGAGTAGTGTTGTATGGAGAGGTGATGACATCATCATCAGCTGACGGATACACTGGTATCACAAATCTAAACACGTCAGGGAAGTTTTCTGCGATTAGTGAAAGAGTTCTTGTACCAAGACCTGAACCAGTACCTCCACCCATACTGTGCAATATGAAAATAGATTGTAAACAGTCGCATAATTCACACTCTTTTCTTATCGCATCTACTATCTGCTCCTGATAATGGCTGCCATAAAAGTGGAATCCTGTTGCCCAATTATTACCTGCACCACTGACGTCTTTTATCAATTCAGTTGAGTTAAAAAGTTCCCCTACATCTGATTGAATAAGCCTATTAAGAACTCCTTCTTCCATATCAATTAAAACAGCTCGAGCTTTCAAGCTTTGAATCTGGGTTGGTGGGTTACTTACTGCCAAGTTTCGTCTGGATTTCGAGTCTACATTCCGAAAGAAGCTGGCAACAGATTCAGAAAAGTAGCCTGAATCGTCATGAAAAGCATGTTCTTTTAAAGCAGAAGACCAAAACTGAGATCCTATCTGATTACCACACTGACCAACTTGTACTATGATTGACTGAGTCATCGGTGCACCTAAATGTGTTTTATGAATTATTTCTATAATCACTACTGGCAACTGAAACAAAGATGCCTGTTAAGGATGAAGTGATCAAATCATTGTATGTTGTTTATAGAGTGTATGGCCTGGCCGAATATTGTCCATATGTTAACCCTCCAGTGGCCGTATATATATTCATTACATTGGCCATATGATGGTCGTATATTGACCATATGATGGCCATTGTACCCTGATTTAATAGTAGGGAGAAATGTAAATAGTAAAATAAATCGATTAAAGCATGATTACTAATTTTAATTTATTTAACTACTCAATAGTGCCAAGTCGCCGATCAAGTACATTCCTGAATAATGGAATAATTTTAATGTCCTGTAAAATTGTTGCTAAAATTTTGGCTATATTAGAGGGCCTTACGGGTATTTTCTGCTCAATACCCTAGGGATTGCTCTAACCAGAGCCCTCTCGCTTGCAGACATATGGTTAGGTGAACCCTAGGGACCTCAGCTCAGATAGCCTTCGCTAGACGTATTTGTGACCGTGTACTGTAATTGATTAAAGATTAAAAGCGGTTATTAGACTGATTTTTTTATGTAAATAGTATTCGAATTATATGCATAAAAATTTTAAACTAATTACAACAGTGCTACAAATCTATTACATTTATTGAAAATTATGTAGTGTAATTTAAAAATTATATTTTAAGCGGGAATATCCTGTCCAAACCCAGGATGCACGGCATAAAGAATTTGTTTTAATTTTAATGAACCAAGAAATTTGTTCAACGAAGCAAGAAATTCAATTTTAGCACATTTTTACAGATAAAAGAAAATTATTATTCAAGCAATATACACATAATATAACAATTACCCTATATAAAAATTCAATATAAATTCAATAGAAAACTAAATAAAATTTATAAACACCCTTTAAGTAGTATAAGTAAGCCAGTTTAAAGAACTGGCTCCAAATTTATATCTAATTCTGCTATTTTTACTGCACTACTACTTTTCAACCCTCTCTCTCCTCTAAGAGCTATGACTGTTGTTCTCAATAGGTCAAATCTTACTCTCTTCCTAATAAATGTCATTGCCTCACTATATCGTTGGCCTGATTTCCTAGATAGTTTATCCGCTAATTTCTTGAAGAACTGATTAGCTTCCCTTCCCATACCCCCAGTGGTTGATAGGACTATCGGTGTAAACGTCCCATGTTCCACTTCTACAATCCTTTTATTGTATAAATTCTTTTTCTGTCTCTCGTGGCTATTGTACATAGTGGTTGGAGATCCAAGAGCCTTATTGGAAGGAGCTTGAGCATGAAATACTCTTACATCTAAAAATGCCCTTTCCAATGGGTTCCATACACTTTTAGCACTAACATCTAATCTAGCTCCATCTGCTTTGTTGGCCCCTGCAGGAAGTTCTCTCCCGTTGACAGGAATGAGGAGAGGATCAGTGGTAACATCTTTACAGCCAGCAGTTTCTAATAGCTCTGCTAACACATCCCTCAATGAGTTGTGGCGAAGAGATACATATCCACCCCTTTTGCATACTAATGAGTGGTTTATTGAGTTGTCACTTCCACATACACATTTTCTTGCAGCATCTTTTATCCCAAAGTTGTACCTTAGGGCTAGGGCATCATTGAATTCTTGCTTGTTGAGACAGAATCCGAATGATTTGAGCGGGAGTGACGAAAGCCAGGAACTTGCCCCTTTCTCTGATGTAAGATCTAATTGCAATTTTTGGGTTTCATTCAGGTCCTTTGTAACCTCTTCTTTTCTCTCCTTGAAAAACTCTACCCTTGATTTTCAGATTTCAGTCTTGATCTCTACTAGTTTTTCCTGATCATCAAAAAAATCTTGGTGCTGGTTGTATATTGCTTCTGTAAGATCTAATGTTACTTTGCAGGAGTACTCGTACTCTAGGTCAGACATCAAACTCAGATCGTATATACCAAGACCCCCTTCTTTGACTGGTAATGCAAAGAGTTTTCTACTGGTTTGGTCGGTTCCAAACGACCTGTCCAATATTGCTGGTATAAAGGATTCTTGAATTTTGTATTCTAGTCTCCTGAGGTGTTGACTGATACCAGGTGTTGTTCGACATACATAATTCCATCTTTTAGATAACCCAGGCCATAGTTGAACTCAGAATAAGCTGCCTGAGGTTCCCTCTTAGCAATATCTGCCAGATCTTCGATATCATTAATCCATTCATCAACAGATAATTTTACAGATAAAAGATGTAAAACAATTCATAAAATATAATGCCCATTTGGTGTATGACTTTTTGTCCTTGACTGCTAGTTTGTAGTTTGGTTTTGGAAGGACAGACTGGGCAAGGAATGGGCGTGCCTGGAAGCTTTTGCACACACCGAAACGCTAGTTCAGTTAAGTTGTTTGTATGAAAAGCATCAATAACAATAACCCTCGTCAACTCAGCAGCAGTTTTCGTCCGTGTGATGTGTTGTCCTTCTCTTTTCTGTGTCCCCAATCGTTTTGTTTTGTAAATATTAAAAAACAACATATAGTAGTGTTTTAAGCAAATATTTCAATCATCAAACGTAACTTAATAGTTAATAATAACAATTAACATAACACAAATACTAAACATTCAACTTTTAAACGTGTATTATATTATATATTATGTATTATGTATTAAAACTTTTGCATCCTAATATGCAATTTATTCAATAATATGATGCAAAAATCTTTAAACAATTTATATGTTTGTGCTTGCAGCTGATATAAAGCTTGGGGTGGTGCTTTAAAAACGGTATTTCGGGTACTAGTAAAGCTTTTACAGGCAACTGGTTCCTTTTGCCAGCCGTTTTTAGTCCAGTACTGTTTTATTTCTGGTCTCAGAACATGCGCAACAAAAATGTTGTTATGCCAATATAACGTGGAATTATTTGTATCACGTCGTAACCCTCTGTCATTGCACAAAGTGGTTTTGTGGTGATATCAAGGCCACGAATGACGAAGCCGTGCACTCGTGCGCGGCAGGTCTACAACTTGAAACAACACATTTTGGACAATCGATTTATGAAATTTAAACAAAATTTAGAAAACAAGTCAGTTGATGTTTAAGTTGAGGAAATATTTTTTGAATAACGTTCACTTCTGCTTTAGAATTTTTACTTAAATTTTGAATTGCGCTGATAAAAATTTATGATTGAGACGAATTTTCGAGTAGTTCACTAGTATATACTATATAATACAGTGAAAAGCGTATTTTACATTTCATTAGCATCTTGTCACATTTCACGTCGACGGGATTAAACGCGCGCGCGCGTAACGTCTTATCTTATTGATAAATATCTCAGCGAATAAACACACATCGACTTTGACAATTGACAGACAATTAAACGATCGTGAGTTATGACGGACTTAACTGTATGGGTCAACTACTGAAACTGTATTGTTGTGTATACTATCTTAATCATTATTGATTATACTGGACATGAAATGACGAAGTATCTTAAAGGGGCATACCCCAAATCTGTCCAGACCTAATGACTTTATTTGGCTTTGCAGATAAAAAATCACATTTTCTCCCATAACTTCAAAGGGAAGCATTTTAGGGTGTTTTGTTGTTCATAACTCATATATAAATGTGCTAGTTGCGGTTATTTTGCACCCTTCAAAAAGTCACTAGCACATTCCTATCAAAATTTTACAAAAATCAGTAAATATTAAAACCGAAAAATGTGCCTAAATTTGTTGTTTGGCTTTGAGGTCCAATAGATCAGAAGGTGAATGAGTAAAAACATTTTTGAGGGCATCAAAAACTGCGCCAGAATTCAGAAAACAATTTGATGTCAAGCATCAAATAATCCGATCTTCCCGGACTGACTTTTTGTTAAAATAAGCCTGAAAAGGAGAATTTTAGCTTTTTGACTTTAAAAATTCATAACACACCAGCCTTTTTAGATACGATATCAAGATTTTACACACACCTTGACATAGATGTGAATAAACGGCGAGCAAAATTTCAACCCGATACCGCAGGAAATAATTAACTTATAGCGTGTCAACCACAAAATAATTTTTTCCGAAAATTGCACTCTTAACCAGGAAATGCTCGATTACAAAAATTGGAATCCTCAAAATAATTTTTTTGGTGTGGAAACGGTGCGCTAGAAGGTCACTGAACTACCTATGAGGTCATTTGGTCTGGACGGCACAAACCACTGTTTTGGGGTATGCCCCCTTAAGCAGCACTTTATACCTCCACTTAGAACTTGATTAGTCACGAACAATAGAATCATTATAAATCAATACAATAAAACATCTTGATCAATAAATGCTTAGCAGCACCAGACAGCGGCCGTGTACCTTTTTCGACTCCACGGAGTCCCTGATGGGCTTTTGTTTACTTTTGTTAATAATTTGACCAACCTTTCTTTCTCGAAACACATATCCTATTGTACTTCATTTTAGTATTAAGATAATTTAAAGCAAATGTGAATATATTTACTACGAAATAGAATTATATCAAATTGTCCATGACATTGACTAACCGTATTGATGGTTTTGGATTTTGTATGTTGTATTTTAATATGAAGCGTTACTCTTCCCCCTCGGCAAGACAGTTTAGTTTGTATCACATGGTGACCCCCACTGTCGCTTAGGTTGGTTCAAAAAAACTAAAATGTCTCAAATTTTGCTGAGTATAAGCTCAAACTTTGATCCCATGGCTAAAACACCCCCAAAAAAATTTTTTTGGTCCAACTCGTCTGGGATGGGGCTGCACATGCCACGCCCTTATTTTGTGAGGTGCTTATACAGGTAAAATGTTTAAAATCGCCGTTTTTAACCTTTAAACATTGAGATAGGTTCCCGAAAGTGAGGAAGTCGTATATAAACGTGCTAAAAAGGATAACTTTAGTCAAGGTCTCATGTCTCCACAACCTTGTCTTCAGCATGTCTCTGCGCCTCGGAGGCAAAGGCGCGGTCGCGTCTCAACCAATCATCGTAGAGACTCAAGTGGACTTTCAAATTGGGGTAACAAGTGCGCATTAGTGGGGGTAGAGACACTCACTTTTGCTCTAAGAGCTCTGTTTCAGTTGCTTTCAGGCACAGTAAAATTCACAGTATTGGATACAATCATACATTTTAGCAATAAACATTTCAATCAATCTTATCCTCAAATATTAGTATAGTTAGCTAATTGAGTAGTAGTGTGAGAATCAGGTCGTTAATTGGTGGCAGTAAAGAATGCATAAATTTTTATTCTTAACGAGCCTCAATTATAATTAATGAGCCTCAATTTTTCTTCTTAACGAGCCTCAATTATAATTAATGAGCCTCAATTTTTCTGGGATTTTTCTTCTTAACGAGGAATCAATAGGTTAGTATAAATAACCTCAAGATGCACTTGGAATCATCTATTGTTGTTTATTGTTATCGAATACAACTATGTCAACCTCAAATTCAAAGAGAAAGCTTGGTAGACGTGAGGTACCGTTCCTTGGATCTCTTCTCGAAAAGTTACCCTACACTCGACTTCCTACGAAGCGTACTGTTATGAGGAGGCTCATGTTCATAACCGAGACAGACTCTGCATCTCTATTATCTATTAATGATGCTATTACCATGGTAAGAGGGGAAATCAAGGATGTTTGGAGCTATGCTGGCTATGAGGATATTCTTAAAGATGACAGCAATATTAACAAGAGTATCAAGGTAAGAGCTTCTTTAATCTTATAGATATGATTCTGGTTGTTTTTGTTTCTGTGCAGTGTGCACCCTATCGTGTTTTAAGGAAGTCTAGTACTACATTCTCTTCTGCGGTTAACACTTATAACTCATTGATAATTTCTTTAAAACATCGTCTCTTTCAGCAAGTTCGCAAAGAATACCAAGATGTTAACAAAATCCCGACAGATAGAAGAACAACTGAAGCGTATACGAGGAAGGCGACAACTCTTGTTACTAGTTTGAATCAGCTCCTCGACATTTCTAAGAAATCTCTTCAACAATCTAACCTAATAACTGCAGAGGACAGAGACTTCCTTGTCAATCACTGGGATAAAACTATCAGCACTGTTAAGGATGTGGGTACCTCTCGAATGATACAAAAGAAACTTGATGTAGCAGAAAGGGCTACGGTTAGAGCAGAAAAGTTCCAAGTGTATGCAGAAAAACAGAGACCCTTGCAGAATACTTCTGGAGCATTGGACCTTTCCATAGATCTTTCGTCACAAGATGAAGCAAACTCATCCCTTGAATACACCCCATCTCGGCCGAAGAAGAAGAAGACAGGCACATCTCTTTACTTGGACGTGGACATTCTCAGCAAGATAGGACCAGCAGCTGATAGGCTAAATTTGACGTCCAACCAAGTTATTGGGATAACGGCAGCCCTAGTTAACAACTCTGGTGGGGATGTTGATGATATAACGCTATCCAAGTCCTCTGCTATAAGGAGACGAGAAGCAGCTAGAGAAAAGGCGAGCAAAGTTATCAAAGAAAACTTCTCCTGCAACAATGGTTGTCAAATCAATTTTGATGGAAAGCTGCTGAAAGATTTACCAGGACATCTTATTGGTAAAGTAAATCGTCTGGCAGTGACTCTATTTCAGGAATCTGGTACCGACCTTCTGAGTATCGCCAAGACGGAGGATTCCACTGGAGAGGGAGAAGCACGAGCTATCCACGAAATCTTGGAGCAGTGGGAAGTAACGGATAACGTCATTGCAATGGGATTCGACACGACCAGCGCTAACACAGGAATAAACAAAGGAGCGTGTAAAATCCTCCAGGAAACGCTTAAAAGACAGCTCATATGGATGGCGTGCCGTCACCATGTTCTGGAGCTGGTTATAGGAGCTGCATTTAAGGAACTGTTTGGGGCTACATCTGGACCAGAAGTTCCTCTATTTAAGAAGTTCCAGGAAATATGGCCGACTCTAGATCTCTCCAATCTCATCCTACCAGACATCCCCAGTTACCTTGAATCGAGGAAAGAAAATCTCATTACCTTTATAAATCAGAGACTAGAGGGGGAGAAGCTTCCTCGGAGTGACTACAAGGAGCTACTGGAACTTTCCAAGGTAATGTACAAACTACCTAACAATTTTGATCGCAATTTTGGGTTCATTGTGCACGTTTTAGTATGTACTTCTGTTTTATTTTATACAGTATACACAACTATAAATCTATTGTAATTTTTAACTCAAAAACCTTTATTCCTGCAGATATTCCTTGGCGAATCTGTTAGTAGAAAAAAAGGGTACGAATATAAGATCCAGACTCCTGGTGCCTTCCATCACGCAAGATGGATGTCCAAAGCTATCTATGTCCTAAAAATGTGCTTGTTGCAGAACCAGCTAACCAACATTCACCACACTAAACGGAAGAAGCTAACGAAATTGGGGATATTCATTGTTTTCGTGTACGTTAAACCTTGGTTTAGAGCTCACTCCGTTACCTCTGCTGCTTCAAATGATCTTGAACTGTTCAGGTTTGTTACTGTAATAGAATTTCTTAAGATAAATAGTTCGTTTCAAACTACTGAATTATAGCAGCTAAGATTTTAACAGATGAAGATTGTTACTTTAATTTTCAATCTTCATAGTTCATAGTTAAACAGAATATCTTGAATTTTTGATAATAATTGATGAAATTACCAGGAATCTGACCATCTACAAGAAGATTGACAAGAAGGTAGCAGATAGCTGCAACAAAGTATTTCAGAGACACACCTGGTATTTAACCGAAGAGAACATCTCCTTCTCCCTCTTTAATGAGAATCTGCCTATCTCAGTACGAGAGAAGCTGGCTGCAGCGATAGTGAAGACGACAAAAAAAGAAGGAAGACTTGAAGTGAGGAAACCAGAGCTGCCTGAAGTAAAAGATTCCTCGACTCTAGCTGACTTCGCTGGACCTCGTTCTAGATTGCTTTTTGACCTTGTAGGAGTCAGCACACAGTTTCTAGAGAAAGACGATTGGCACCTGACATCGGAGTACAAGCAACTGAAGTCCTCTCTAAGAAACCTCGCAGCTACTAATGACTCGGCAGAGAGGGCTATATCTTTAATGACTACCTATAATACAAGAATCGCTAGAAAAGAAAGCTGTTTCCAAGATCTTCTACAGGTGGTTCGGTGGCATCAAAAGCAATTTTCATTCCAGTCAAAGGAAAAATTAAGGGATTTTAAATAATTTAGTTTGTTAACAATCGAATTTGAATGTAGCTTTAGTATTTAATATGATTTTGATTCTATAAATCTATGATATCCTCGATTTTTTGCTTCAAACTCTGTTATTTTACTGTGCCTGAAAGCAACTGAAACAGAGCTCTTAGAGCAAAAGTAAGTGTCTCTACCCCCACTAATGCGCACTTGTTACCCCAATTTGAAAGTCCACTTGAGTCTCTACGATAATTGGTTGAGACGCGACCGCGCCTTTGCCTCCGAGGCGCAGAGACATGCTGAAGACAAGGTTGTGGAGACATGAGACCTTGACTAAAGTTATCCTTTTTAGCACGTTTATATACGACTTCCTCACTTTCGGGAACCTATCTCAATGTTTAAAGGTTAAAAACGGCGATTTTAAACATTTTACCTGTATAAGCACCTCACAAAATAAGGGCGTGGCATGTGCAGCCCCATCCCAGACGAGTTGGACCAAAAAAAATTTTTTGGGGGTGTTTTAGCCATGGGATCAAAGTTTGAGCTTATACTCAGCAAAATTTGAGACATTTTAGTTTTTTTGAACCAACCTACTGTCGCTTCACTATAGTGAAGCGACAGTGGGGGTCAGGATATAGAATATATCCTGAAAGTTTCAGGGTGATTGCTCAAAAAATGTAGGAGAAGATAGATTTTTAGACTCGATTTTCAGAATTTGCGATTGAAAATCGCTCAGGCAATACAATTACACATAAGCGCTGACCTTAGACCAGCGGTAATTTCGGCTAGGAACAATATTTTTCCATGGGACCAAAAGCAGCTGGTAGATATCATTCCCTTCTACCAGAAACAACTATAAAGTCAATTTCGAGAGAATTTTGATGAAGACCCCCCCCCTTGGCCCCCTTAAGGCATATGTTCCTTCGTAAGTTATATGTAAATGTGCCAATTGCGGTTCTTTTGCACTCTATCCGAAGACTCTATCACGATCCTATCAAAAGTTAGTAAAATGGGCTCAGCGCCACGCCCAAAATGGTTTTTGGCGAATTTCTCGAAAAGTAAGGATTTTAGGCCATGTGTTGATCAATAACTCCTATATAAACATGCATATGCGGCTTCGTTTAAGCCTATTCTGAAGTCTCTAAGACCTTCAGAAGCAAAGGGTCAGTTACGTTATTTGGTCAATATGGGCGTGGCCCTCCTGGGTTTTCCCCACGGTAAAAAAAATGTCTCCAACCGAAAATCGTTTATTCATACCTTTGGGAAGGTCTGTGCAAAGTTTAGTGAGTATCTGAAGATTTGCAGGCAGCTGTCCTTAAACGACTGGACTGCTAGCTTTCTTTATTTTTGTAAGTCGCGTCGGCTGACATCTTGGGTTGTACTGGATGTAACAAGTTTATTATCGGATGTCTACTTATATTTATTATGATATCATTATTCATTGTAATGGCAATAAAATTTAAATTTTGTTTTACTTAAATTTTGTTTTACTTATATTAATTGTTAATCAATTCATAACCTACCCAAAATGCGCGCTGAGTTGGACTCATTGACAGTCTTGTATTTGATGGTCTAATGTTCGAAACAAATATTGTAAGAGTATCACTCGTTAAATTATGTTAAGTTGTTTAGTAGTTGTCGTTATGGCACCCATTTTATTTAAATTGAGGCTATATTATATGAATCTTTAATGTATTCCTACTTGTTTAAGACAAATTTTAGGTTGCCCAACGTGAGAAGCTATTATACCATATGCCTGGTCATCGGTCTAGCTCTCTTTGTTGGAAAGCTAGGGTCTGGACCTATGTCCATTGTCCTATACCATACTGATTTGTTTTTTTGCAACAACCCTTAAATTTTTCTAATGTCCTGATTTTAGAGAATATCATAAAATTGGAAGTTTAAAGATTCATTAATTGCAAGATGTCAATGCTGTATGACGAAGATGATAATTTTTGCAATCAGTACAATGATGTGGACGAATCAGCTGAAATCATTAACAAGCCAGATCAGATAGTTTGGTCAAACACTTGGGATCTGGAAGGAGAGTTCAAAGTACATATCAGATCAGATTATCCCACTGTAAAAACACAGAACTATAGTGCAAAAGGGTAAAGGAAATAGAATTTCAGATTTTGAGATCACAAAAGTGATGGTCTTGAGTAGATGTAAAATCAGTTAATAATTTTTTGATTTATATTTTGAAATATAACAGGTTTTATAATACAGGGTGGGCCAAAAGTCAGTACCCATATGTTGGTCTTAATAGCTCAATCACTGAGTGCCCAATTGAAATAATTCTTTCTGGTATGACTTACTACCACCACTGGTTCGAGGAATTTGTCAAATCGAAAAATATTCGTGTTCATTTTTTTCAAATGAAGGTTCATTTTTGCATTTATTTGATAGTTTGGATAGTCGGGTCAGGCCAAATTTTATTGAATAGAGTTTGGCCATTTAAACCCATTTAAATTACGTTTGTCCTGAAAAAATGAGAGTTCTAGCTTCTCAGATGACCGAGATATGAAGCATAACGTGTTTGTTCATTACGTGTGATCAGGTAATTGGATTGAGGCTAGATCCGCATTATGGGAATCGTGTAGAGAGCCCAATTACGGTGCCGTAATTGGGTAATCATTGAGTACCCAATCAATTTTGCTAACGAGATAAACAAATTGCTTGATAACTTCGTCATTTTAAATCTGTTTTGCACCATCTTTTCAGATCATATTCCGGATTAAATGACCTATTGCAATATGTTACAACGGAGTCTCTAACATGTTCACAAACACCAGTATAAGCAATTCAATGTTGATTGGGTGTGGCCCCCAAAAATCGAATTTTCAAATTTTGGTGATGGAATCCTCGAACAAGTAGGTACAGTATGCCATCTGCAAAGCAACAACTCTCAAATATAAAACATGGCGGAGGTATAAGACCCAACGTATGGGTACTGACTTTTGGCCCACCCTGTATATTTTATAAAATAATATAAATATTATATTTTCGGTGATGTAAGGGGTCGTTCACATATTACGTAATCAGCCAAGGCTAGTGTAATTTTGACACAATGTGTAAAACTGATTATGGAGGGGGGGGGGGGGGGGGGGGTAAAAATTGTCCAACAAAATTGATTACGTAATATGTGAACGACCCTTAATGAGATCAAATAATGAAAACTTTGAGTTCGAATTTTAAAATGCTATATTTGATAAATATTTGCATTAGTTTCAATTATGGTCAAAATATATTTAGGTGCCTTCCTTTTTATATGAATATGTATCAGCTACTAACTAGATACAATGGTATCAAGCATTTTATGATTTATATGGGCGTATCCAAGGCATTCCACTTAGTAATATTTGGTGGTAGAAATGAGTAGTGTAGCTACCGTGCTCAAACTCATTAACTTTTCATTCACTCTAAATTCCATCTTAGGATGATTCAAGGATGAACTTGTTTGTACTTCCCAGCTAAACGTCATATTGTGCTGAAATACTCCTTCGCTAATAGACGTAGTTTCCAATCGAGTCAGTACAAACATGGGTTTATTGATGACAAAGCTCTGGCAATACTTCTCCAACAGCGGTAAATACATTAACAAATTTGTTGATTGTTTAATTTATACTTTAGCCTCATGGGATGTGTGCTATACCCTATTCTATACATCAACATAACAATCATGCTGTAGTAACAGATGGATTTATCAACTGCTCAAAATATAAAAGCAAATTACCAAAATTCTAATCTTGTAATTATTAGTTTACCGTAACAATACCTGAAAAGTATTTGGATTTGTCCAAATAAAAACATAAAATGACAATTAATAATCTTGTGGAATCTGTAATTAAAAAGTCAAGCCAAATCCGACTGCAGTGTGAAATCAAACCGAGTTACCTATTCCAATAAATCCCTTTCCATGCCCCGATTTACAGCAAAAACCCGATTTACTCCCCCCCCCCCCCCCCCCCCTTCCTCAAATGGAACAGTTCACACACAGTGTGCACAATTAAAACCCTGATTTACTGCAAAACTCGAGTTACCACAGCTGTTTTCTTTCCCCCAAACTCTATGTTAAATGGCATAAGCTAAAAAGAAAGAAGTCGATTTCAATGTATATAAGTGTCATGTGTATTTTAAGGATTTTTCAACTAATTTTTGCAAAACTTAGCTTAGTTGAAACCATACAATTTCAATCGGGCCACCCGTCTCTACGATTTTGACTACATTATTAAACAAACGATAACAACTTGAACACTCATAAATTGTACATAATAATAAACGTTTGATAAATTTTATGATCCATAAACTTGAACTTACTTGACTTCTAAAAACAGTATATTAACGGTACGTGTTCTTCGAAATAATATGATTAAAGACTTTCTGAATAAGGCCCCCCCCCCCCCCCCCCCCCCCCATAACATTACCGACTAAGATAATCAATATTTTAGCAATGTAGCTGTTCCTTGGTTTCCCTGGTCTTTTCTTGCCTTCTTCGAGCTGTAAATGAGCCATGAGGCCAAGTAGGCGTTTTCGTGATAAACTGTAAAACCTCTCTATACCGGGTCTCTTGCAGTATATAGCGTTTCATATAGCGCATTAAGGGCCATTATATCTGCCTATACATGTATTGTGTCGGTAGATCCAAAGCCTCTTTTGTCAGTAGATCGATTTTTTCAGACGGATTTGTTAAAGGACTGGTTCTACAAGTTAATAAATCCTCCAAAACAGTTTTTTAGCTCTTACTAAATTCCCATGACTCTAAGTTTCACGACTCTAACTATTTGAACAAGCGCGAGCGGTACCGCAGAATTTATGAAATGTTTACACTCATTCAAATAAAGCTGCTACTAACAACTGACAACTCGTGGCTTATTTCCCTGCTCTTATTCTCCAAGCCATGACAATCAGGGCCGATGATGTACAGAGCTCTCCTCGCTCCAATCTATTAATAGCTACTCGGGAATGTATTCTGATGAACCGGTTTAACTTTTTTAAGTACTGGGATATGTTAAGAATTTAACTTTAGAGGCAGACTTCTACTTCTGAGTTCTGAGTTCTGACACAATTTACATGATTGTGCAATGTTGCTGATTGTGCAATCTAGACATCTTTAGCAACACCTGCCACCCCGAAACAAGTGTAACTTTTGTCATCTGTACTTGTCATTATTTTCCTTCTAACTGTCAACTATGAAATTGTATTCTTCTGTTTACGCCAATGTACATTAAATGTTTATATCTTTTTGTTCTGATGTTTCTATTATCATGATTAAACAATTTCAGAGTACAAGGTGATAGTCGTGGGTCTGGATAATGCTGGTAAAACTACAATCCTATATCATCTGTAAGTACCAATAGTATGGTTATTAAAATATATGTAGATTGTACAATGGGGTTGTGGGGGAGGGAGGAACCCCATCGCCCATTTATTCCTCAACTTTTGGTCAGATGGGCATGGGCATTGCATCGATTGGGCATTGCTGTTTTTGAGGCTTTGTCTATTGGTAAAATTCTTAAAAACAGCTATAACTTGAGTTATGATAAAAAATAAACATCACTATCGTGTTCACCGTACTTACTCGATTGGGTTGTCCCCCCCCCCTCCTAAAATAGTGTATTGTTGAAGAAATGGATCTATTGATTCTATTGAGTTGGACATGGTAGGTACAGATCATATAATAAGACATCTAAGCGATGCTGCGGTTGGCGGCCTAGAAAGGGCTAAGGACTTTTAGCCTTTAGGTCGAGTTCGTCGGAATTAATTCATTAACGTAATTTGATTTAGGATTGTCGAACAGTAATCATCCTCTGGGCTCTGAGCATTAAATCTCGGTCACGCACATTACATGGTATGGTCGCACATTATTCAAAAATAGGGTGATATATTTTATTAAGAGTTGGGATGTGATTCATATTTGCTTTAATAAGGAATAGAGGGTCACGACTCCATGGTCAATATAGCAAGTCCCATAAACTGCATACATTAATTATGACGACAGTCTCTAACCCTCGCTGTGACCATCGCAGGTCGATTCACTTTAATTATATGAACTGCACAACGTGCAGAGAAAATCATTGAATAAAATGTAAATAGATAAGAAGTTTATTCGTAGGCGCCTGTAGAAATTATACTAAAGCTAGTGCCTAGTTGTGCCCATGCCATCAGATCTACCTTAACAACTCTTTGGGGTGGTTCAAGAGACTAGGTATTGGCAACACATTTCTGCAATTTTCATTTATCTTACATAAATCTGACAAATTGCTAATCTGTGAGACTGAGAGCCATAACGTTATCGTTATTTGAATGAAACTTGTTTCATCTGACACTAAATTATTTATAGCAGTCATTCAAGCGAGACTTTGTATGGAAATATCAAAATTACAATACAGTAATATAACGAATCTTGCAAATATATGTATAAATATTAAATATTGATCTTTACGTCCGGTTACTCGTCTCGGGTCAGAGCCGATGAAAGTATGAAGGTGCGAAATCGAACCACTTCAAATTACATTGACATCGAGTTCTATATATTACCTAACCGTTATTAGATTAAACATTTAAATGGGAACCGGTCAGGAGGGCGGAAGACGCGTGGGCGGAGGTCGCGTAGGCGGAAGACTTGAGGGCGGAGGACGCTAGGGCGGAAGTTTCCTAAAAGGTTGGACACGAGGGCGGAGGTCGCGAGGGCGGAGGTCGATCCCATGATTTGGGCGGAAGACTCGTAAAACGATCACATGTCCTAAATGCTCGACTGGTAATACTACAAAACCGGAAACATCACACAACGTACTTCAAATTGTATAAATTATATAAGTTATATTCAATCAAAGTTATATTCAATCATTTTAGTGGTACTGATAGGAGCATCAGTCTCCGTATCCAGATTCGTGTAGGGGTGTAGTTCTTCTGGCCAGATGAGGGATCTGTCAGGACTTTTTCATACTCCTCCTTGTATCCAAGCCTCCCGACAGCTCTCATGACAGCCTGGCAGATATGAAAGAAGCACCCATCCACTTGGGCTAACTCGAATGTAGACGATAGGGCGTTCCTCAGGGCGAGCTCAAAGTCCACCATGATTCGGTCTGGAGAAAAGGAACCAAGGTTTTTGAGGGCGCCGAACGCTTCCATGTAGATGGGAGTGTCCTTGTGGGTCAGGAGAATGTAGACGCAAGGGAAGCACCAGGTTGAATCCTCCGTGAAGTTCACCATCTCCGCGTGGACAGTCAGTAACTGATAGAACAGCTGCGGTGAGGATGAGAAGGTTGCGTCGATATACCAGCTGCTGCTCTGCTCTAGGGCTGTCAGGTTGTTTTTTGTTGCGAAGATGATGACACGTCGATCGTCCAGGTTGTTGTCGTATTGAAGCATAGGTTCACCGGAGAGGGATCTGCAGTCGTCCTCTTCCAGTTGAAGATCTGCGAGGGATGAAGGTGCTCTGGGTCTAGGGTTTCCGTATCGGCGGGCTCTCTGTGCCCTCTTCTTCACCGCTTGTTCGTTGGGGAGGCGGGCACGTGCATCCTGAGACATGGGACCAGTAACGGAGCAAACGATGTTGTGGTTAGTAGTCATCGTCGTAGCAGCCAGATCCTGGACTTTAGCGAGGACTTCTTTCAATTCACAGTCAGCGATATCAGCGTCGTGGTTATGTATCTGTGTCACTTTCACCAAGGATTCGTTCAGGGTATACAGACGACCACGGCAACAGTCTTTCTCCCTCACACATCTCCAGGCTTGGCGTCCATCGGTGGTAAGCTTTCCATCCTTAGAGTAGCGGAAACCACCGTGTAGGAGATTCTGACTGGTAGGAGTCCTTCCTCTGATAATCTTTACTGTATCTTCATCGTACATGGTTGTTATTGTAGTAGTTGAGATGTAGCTGGAACTAAATAATAAGATACTTCTATTCCCAACATCGGTCTTAAATATACTAGTTGTCTCTCGAGTCGTCTACGTTGTGACTCAAGTTGTTCGTTTCACTGTGCAATCTCTTCGTGTGAAAACAGTTGATCATATCCCAGATCAGTTTACGTGATGTTGTGATGTCCTCACATACCGTTGTGTTATATGAGATCATGACCATGGTGATTCATGACGTGAGTCGAAGTTATGTATCACGTGACTCGATTCGATAGTTTGACTCACATGACACAAGGGCTTCTGGGATATGATCAACAGTTTTCACACGAAAAGATTGCACAGTGAAACGAACAACTTGAGTCACAACGTCAGAATCTCCTAGTCCAGATGGAACAGTCCTCGACAGACAAGAAGACCTTAGCGAATTCGCTTGGAGAGCAGCAGCCTAAGAGGAGGAAGGCCAATAGCGACATGGATAGAAGAATCTTCAGCATAGTTCAGAACTACCATTCGTACGAGGATGATGTTGTGCTATGTGAAATGTTTATGTTATTGTGATATTATTCTATTCGGGTTTGACAAAATTGATTGATTACATTGTGATTTATATTACCGTTAAGCGTTCTCTATAAGTATAACCCTGTGTATTTTGTTTGTAAAGTTACAAAGAATTCGAAATCAGTACCACTAAAATGATTGAATATAACTTTGATTGAATATAACTTATATAATTTATACAATTTGAAGTACGTTGTGTGATGTTTCCGGTTTTGTAGTATTACCAGTCGAGCATTTAGGACATGTGATCGTTTTACGAGTCTTCCGCCCAAATCATGGGATCGACCTCCGCCCTCGCGACCTCCGCCCTCGTGTCCAACCTTTTAGGAAACTTCCGCCCTTGCGTCCTCCGCCCTCAAGTCTTCCGCCTACGCGACCTCCGCCCACGCGTCTTCCGCCCTTGTGTCCTATACCCCATTTAAATAGCAGAATTGATTTATGCTTTATATAGTATATATACCGGGTCCCGATATACCGGGTCCCGATATACCGGACCCGATATATCGGGTCCGGTACTTTAGGGCGGCGCCCTAGTTGTTAGTCATCTGATATTTAATTTAAATTGTGTAAGTTTTACCAACAAAAGTTATCGGGGCCGGGTGGTAGTCTCCAGCAGGAAGGGTAATTCCTCCTGTGGTATAACTGCATTTCAACTTCAAAACTTACATCATCAAGTTATTACGTTGTCCGACGAATTGTACGCCCTATTTTGTATTGCGTAATCCATGTTGGTGTTTCCTGTCCAATATACTGAGTTCCCATTTAGATGATAACGCTCACTCAATATCGTCATGCACATTAGCACATAGCATATAACCATGATAAATGTGACGTCATAGTTTTACTTGCGAACATTAGCACATAGCATATAACCATGATAAATGTGACGTCATAGTTTTACTTGCGAACTCATAGTATGAACTCCCGCTACTTAATAAATATGAGTAATGAACATTTTATATCGAGACTTCTTGCTTGCTTTTATAATATAAGCAACTGGCACTGATTGTGATGATCGTAATATAATATCCACACGATTTATTATTTGAATTAATAAACACTATGCGCTGTATATTGATAAGGATATCCGATAATGGACCGCTACACGAACTGTCATTGTCAGAAGTGTGTGGACTGTCAGTAATAGGTGTATACTAGACTGTGTTTAAGTGTATAATGTTTAGAGGCGTTTCTTCAACATAATTATGTAGAATATTATGCAGTACACAAAACTAGTACTGGCAAGTATATATAACCGGTATCCACAGTCCACACCCAGTATTTAGTTTAGTCATTTTCCAATACGAGATTGGGGACGGGTTCTATAAACAAACAACAAACAAACAAGTATAAAACCTGTCTCAAGTTGTGTTTACTTCTTATTAGTAAGACCTCAAGATGTCCCCGCAGCGTCTATCTTGCAGAATATTATCTCATTAAAATGTGTTTAAAAGTTGAGCATTAGAGGCTCAATTACAAACTTGATACTTTACTTCATGCCAGCTACAATGATATATTACATTGTAAGTTTATCCTGCAGTACGTGGCTACTTGTTTGGTGTTAAGTTTATCATGCTCAGGTAACTCACGAATTATAAGGTCACGTACACCCCAAATACATATTACTAAGATAGTAACTACACCCTAAATACAGTGTTTACTATTTTTAACTGTATATAAGGGGCATATAATATTCAACTAGATTTGAACAAATCAAATGATAATAATCCCTCTAACCCCAGGCTGATGGACGAGGTAGTGCACACTTCCCCAACAATCGGAAGTAATGTGGAGGAGATCACGTGGAGAAATATAAAGTTTATTATGTGGGACATTGGAGGTCAGGATTCTCTGAGACAATCCTGGGCTACCTACTACTCCAACACCAATGTGAGTAACATGTTGTTAATCTGGGGGGGGGGGGTAATTAATTTGGTACGACTGTTTTTACACGTGACAGATTGGATACGCTCCTCGGCTACTAATGAAGTTGAAAACGTGGTGCAACTTAATCCCTCGTACTCGCGCAATGTTTGAGATATACAGAAGTATGTATGTTGTATGTGTGCAGATCACGATCAGCAATCTAATGTGTTATATTAAAGTTCTTATCTTGCATGACAAATATTTAGCTGTGGCATTTCAAGAATGAGTGACAGACGTCACTCAGCTTAGGTTCCTAACTTTAAAAGGTAGATCTGTAGTTTTAAACAAATGTGCAAAATGGAGACCAGTTTTAAGTTATAATCATAATTCTGGGATTATTCCTTGGTAACCCTGGTAACTCCGTCACACTGGTTCGTGTGAATATCACACCAGGAGACGGGGGTATTTGTGCCCTCTTGATTATAATCACGTAAAATATTCATCCTGTGTTTCTCCGAACTATTCCTCTTCTTTCCCTCTTCTGTAATAGTCATTACTATGGGTCCTAAGTTGTGAACCTGGTTTTTTTTTCGTTTTAAAGTTTAAAACAGAAGTCCGGAAGTAGTTTCCTTATTCGTGAGATCAGCATGAGTAACAATCACTCTAACATATGTAGTAAACCATCCTCAACAAGTTGAAACGGTCCGATCTGAAATTGCTCTTGCGTTTAATGGTTGCTCTCGTGTGTACGCACTATTTGATGAACCAAATCTTCCAAATCTGACCAAATTTGGTAACTTTGCTAAGTTTGAGACTGTACGTTGAGGTTGGTAAATGAAATAAACTTTCATTGGCCGAGAATTAATTAGTTATTGGTTCCAGATTCTTGTAACTACATGGAAGTCTAGTTCAGCGACTATGTCCCAATTATGACTTATATGGTAAAACAGAACAACTTGCTATTACCCTTGAACCTTGCTTCTCTGCATGTAAACTACGTGTGCTCCTAGCCCGGCCCACAAACATTGAACATAGTAGTTGGTACGTGTGTTTCGTGTTTCCAGAGTTGAGATCCAAATCAAAGTCTTCCCACGTCAGACTGAGACAAATGACAAATCTTTTTATACCTGAAATTAATTATTCACAACAACTTTGACAAGATAATCTGATCGCTTTACTTACTGTGCATTGTTAACAATATCGTGTTTACTGTTCATGTATCCGGTTATCCTCTGCATACAGTAGACACACCTGTGAACCAGCCGTATATTATAAGACTTGTGTTAATTAAAAACAGGTGTTTTTTGTTGAAACCTGGAATAATGTAGCTAATAATGTAGCTGAATCAGATCTTGTGTTCTACAGTACCCACATGTTTTCAATGAGGAATTATCTAGATGTTTATTGTACATCACTATCATTGTGTATCTCTTTCAGTTTGTATTCATGGTAATAGATAGCAGTGATAGAGAGAGGTTATCTGTAGCTAAAGACGAGCTCTACAAAATGTTAAACCACGAGGTTAGTTTAGTTAGTTTTTTAAGTTGAACAGAGTTTTTAACACTATTTATATTTTAACTACATATTGCCACTAACTAAATGTCCATTTTTGATGACTCGTTATTATATCAATTCGAGCTAAATTAATTCAAATGGGTTAAACATTTGGCATTTAGAATAAAAATTAACAAATTACAGAAATTCGCACCATTGACCATTCTTATAATTATACCGGTTACGATTGATGTAAATTATTTAGAATGATTCACGTTAGGCAAGCGAATTATAAACTGTGCATCACATGGGAATGTACACAGTACAAACTGTGTGGGTACATTTAATTAGACCTTAGATTAAACAATTTTCCAGGACTTACGGAAGTCGTCGTTGCTAATATACGCTAACAAACAGGACGTTAAGGTAAGTACAGCAAACACTCATATGTTAATCAAGATAATTAACACTTGATAAATGACATAATGTTTTGACACTTCCGCATTGCATTCAGTAATCAGTGAGTGCTGATGCCAAATCAATTATCATTACCTTGCAGGATTGCTTGACGACCACCCAGATCTCCCAAACCCTAAATCTGAAGTCAATAAAAGACCACGCCTACCACATACAACCTTGCTGTGCTCTGTCAGGAGAGGGGTATGTAATATTCTATTACCTGCTGGTCATTGCTATGAATCCTGTAGTTTCAGTCAGGTTTCACGTCATTGTCATTTGAAGGATCAAATTTTACTCACGGTCAAGTGTAGCAGGTGCCATCAGGTTCAATCGAGTTTTTATATCATGTCTTAACCTTACGGCTTACAGTTTACACACGCACTGATATTCGATGTCGCATAGGTGGAGCGTGCCACATGAGCAAATACATCTAAATTTAGGACCGGCTTGACTTTCTGGAACGCGCGAGTTTTTCTGAATTTTGCGTTATCAAAAAGCTCTTCTTTTCGCGCTAAAAGTGTGTGCGTTAAGGACGCGCGCAGTTATGACTAATTAGTCTAGTCGAAGGCCCTGTAACATGCGGCTGATCGTTTCCGTTTCCGCGTTTAAGCATAACATTTTCTGTTTCTATGAAACCTCGTACACATGTAGTATGGCTGGTAGCCAATATACAAGGTACCTTACTTTAAATGATAGCTCATAATTTACTCACAAACTGTCTTAGCTTAATTATTTTCAGGTTACACCAAGGACTGGAGTGGGTGACATCCCAAATCAGAGGTGGCAGGTAGCAGCCACCAGATTAGGAAAATCAATTAACTAAAACCCGGTCGAGAGGATTCAAACTGATTATATTCGTCGATAGTGTCACAGACTAGTAATTTAACCGACACAGAGAAAAGGGCGAAAGGTGACATTGTACATGGTGCGACCGTTTAAGACGATGACAAATTTTAGGCCATTTTGATAGGACTAGCTGACAATAGTAATGTGGACGGCTCTTACTAATTCGCTCGCTCAAAAATTTTCACGTGACTTTGGCTTTTATGGTTTTGCAGCCGAACTAAACGGTTTTACATAAACCCTAATCCTAACCATAACCCCGAAGTTATCCATAACCCCGAAGCTATCCGAAACCGGAACCCTAAAGGGCCTTCTACTTATATTGTATATGACGTCCGCCAAAATCGCAGATTTTCAGACCACCCCCCCCCCCCCCCCCCCCCTGTCCGGGTGTGTCCGAATTTTCAAAACCGCCAGCTACTTTTAAGAGTACAAATATAACCAACTCAAATTCATTGTTAATAAAATTCAAAGAGTTGAAATAAAATTCAAAGAGTTGAAATAAAATTCAAAGAGTTGAAATAAATGGAACTTTTTCGTTAATTCTGCCAAAATTTCCGGATTTTTAGAAACCACCCCTCCCCCTGTCCGAAATTCCAAAACCACCCCTCCTTATTTGCCGGACGTCCTAAGTAGATGGCCCCTAACCTTTAACAATCGAATTCGTGTTTAACAAGCCTGTCACGTGACCAAAACAGTTTTTTGTCCATAACTGCCCAGGGAAGCCTTTTTAACAATTACCCTACGGGGGGGGGGGGGGGGGGGGGGCAATGGCATAAAATGGAGACTTTTTCTATGGAGAAAATGGAAAAACCCATGAGTAATTCTCCATTTTCTCCATTTTATGCCATGAATTTTGTCTTCGAAATTTCATCTTTAACACTATTTAACACCTAAATTGGACATCCTTTGATATGAAAAGTGGCATGCAACGTATGTCAAGACATCCTAACATGTTTATTTACGCTTACTAGGGGCGTAACAAGCTTATGAAAGCTCATAGTAGGCTACTAGATGATTATACTAGGTTAGTTGAGGCACACTTTAGGCAAACTCATAATTACTCAAGCCTAGTGTAAAGTTATTTCTACAGGCTACAGCAGGAGTGAGTAATAGGGGAGAGTAATAGGCACTGAGAAGTGAGACCTACATCCTCGACAGTCGAAACAAGCTCGCACTGCAAAGGGGAGGCCTGCCTTCCGAGATCGCATTACCAGGGGAAGCCTTGAGTCCAAATTTGTGTATCGAGGGGTAGGTGCAGACTTCGATAAACCGAAAAACCAAAAAAATATTTTCGGCTTATAATGAAGACGGTAGCATGAAACGTGGAGAAAAGTGGTTTTTAGAAAAACTTTGAAAAATTTTGACTTAGAAAATTTTCGGCCCGAGTCATTCTCGATACGTACCTCTCGTATCGAGAGCTCCCGATTCCGAGCTCGTGTTGCAAAGGGGAGGCCTGCCTTCCGAGATCGCATTACCAGGGGGAAGCCTCGAGTCCAAAATTGTGTACCGAGGGGTAATTTCTAAGTCAAAATTTTTCAAAGTTTTTCTGAAAAACACTCTGTTCATTATTGGCCGAAAATATCTTTTTTTTTAATAATTTTTCTCGAAATTCTAAATTTTTCAGGTTTTCAATGGCATAAAATGGAGACTATTTCTATGGGGAAAATGGAAAAACCTATGAGTAATTCTCCATTTTCTCCATTTATGCCATTGGCCCCCCCCCCCCACCCTACGTCATGGGGGGGGGGGGGGGGGGGGGGGGGTGGTTGGGAATCAGCATCCAAAAATACACAAGCAACAATATTACTTTCGTACCCTCAGGGCCTTTTCACAAGAATTTTCTTTAACTTTGGGCGAGCGATTTAGTGGGAGCGAATGTGGGCACAATATTTGAACTTCGATATCGTTCTGACTTTAATCTCACATTTCGCTTTCGTGTGCATTTAACTTAAATTGTGTGAGAATTTATGTAACCTTCTGAACTAAACAGATCAACTAATTGAACGAACTAACTAAACTGTTCGCAAAATCATGTTCATTTGTTTCAATATTTGATACAAATGATCATCTAAATTGTAAGAGTTGACTGCATCAGTTTTGTCATTCGTTCACTTCTGGCATAATTATTTAAACTAAAGTTACACCCGAAGTGTAAGTTCTGTAGATTATATCTCAAAAGGAGATTTGATGATTTATAATGGTTGAAATATTTATGTGACAATTGTTTTAAAAAGATGTTTCTTTTGTGAAGATTTGACGAGTACGAAGGAGAGAAACAAGTTGTATAACTTTTGAAATAAAAATCCAAGACGAGACCAGTTAATAAATATACGGCAATGCAGCCAATGCCTGAATGCCATTACAAAACGTAAAATAAATTAGAGCTCTTCTCAATAAAATATACCATTTCTTGGCTACAGAATTTATTTCAGTGCAGCTTTGCAGTTTTATTAGTGTGATTTAAATCAGCGACTCGAAATTCATTCAGTCCATACGTTTTAAGATTTAACGTGTATTCATGTTAGAACAAAACTTACGATAATGGATAAAACAATCATTCAGTTCACATGCCAAAGTTTCTAACTTATTTCTGAATTTTCAATATTCTTCCTCTCTGCAAAACAAGAGCCGATCAGTAATTCAAGTAATTCCGTATTATGTCTCCTTGTCAAGAGTAACCGGGAGGAAGAGACGTCATGAGACCGAGCCTCTCAAGACAGGCGGAAGCAGCGTCGCTCTTCGCTTGGCGTTTGTTTCGAGCTCCGTTAGGAGTTGTGAACTTGTCCGTTTTTACAGCCACCTGTTAATAATAAGTTATTTAATAGAGAAACGGATACCGTTGTTAACAATGCATGATTATACAATGCATGATTATACAATGTGGACAACAGCCAATTTTCACTATCATATTCTTAAACTTCTGATAAGGATTTAAAGAAATATTTGTAACGCAACATTTTTTTGTACCTGGAAGAAGTAGAGCTTCTTGTGCGCGAGACCCTCTTCCTTGAGCAACGTGTACTCGGGCTGCTTCCATTTCATCTGGTGGCAGTAGTCCGCGAGTGCGGCTATTGGGTGTCTACCACTTGTGGTAGTTCGGGGTGCAGGTAGCGGCTCTGTTATAACAGACGGCATCACGTCCCCGTACTTCTTAAGTTTCATAGCTGCTCTCTCTTCGGCACATAACAAGCCTGCTTGGTCGGTTTTAACCATAAACTCGAGCGGTTGGAGAGATCCTGCACCAAACGCGGAGCCGTAAGGGCAGCCCCTTCCCAACACCTGTCCAACCACCCAACCTTGTTTCTTCAAAATTGCCATGGCAACCGCACTTCGCACTGTCGGTAACCCATAGAACATGTCCTGAGGTGGATTAATGTTTAGCAAGTAGAACACCAAGCACAGAGATTTAATTTAAAGAAAACACATTTGCACATTTGCGGGGATCTCATCAGATTCTAATTCTAAATCGAATAACAGGAGAAATATCTTACTGCTCTAGCCCAGGCAGGGCATTCACTGTCTTCCTGGCGTCTCTTCTTTAATGCACTCTGCATCTTAGATGTCTCCATCATCGCAATCTCCGTCTCAGTAACTCCGCATTCGTTTAACTGCGAACATTTTACATCACCTCTAACTCAATAGTAACTTAAAAGTTCGTTAATCAAAAACAATTGTTGACATGCCCTGATGGCTGACTCGAATGTGCTAAAGTAAGTTACCTTGTGCTGGACTGCCTCCATCTTGTCCATCATCTCCGAAGACTCCGGATTCTTTACCATTTCTTGTGCAATTTTCTTGCGTTTTAGCACCAGACCTTGAATTTCCTCCTGTAAAAAAAAGAAGGTTCCAAACTCGCTTAGAAGTTTTACCGTTCCTTTATGGTTTCTACTTAGCGGGTATAAATTAAACTGTTTAAATACAAACCCAATTGTAGCGTCTCCAAAAGTGGGGACCCGATAGCTTTTAAACTTACCAATTGTCACCATGGCAACAGTGAGACACACACGATGCATTGCTCCCTAAATTTGAGGAATGAGTAGCTCAATATTTTCGAGCAAGCTATCCCAATTCAATAATATTAGAAACTATTTTTGAAATAAATATCAACAATAAAATCTAAACAACAAAGGCACAATTTTGAGGGAGAATATCAAGCAATGAAAAGTGGTCTCAACAAAGTAAATTAGTTTAACACAAAATGTTGAGAGCACCAAAATTTAAAGCTCAAGATTCCAGCACTCCATTGAAGACATTCAAGGGTGCACAATTAATCTCATCTTAATTTAGAAAATCATATCATCATATTATCAATTATCGTGTAATCATGACAATAAGGGGTCGTTCACATATATGAGTTATGACATAACGCAATAAGTTTTTATTATAATCCCCCCCCCCCCTCCCCGGCGCGGCTCCCCCTCTGTAATCAGTTTTACACTTAGCTATTGTGTTAAAATTATACTAGCGTAATCATTTGGAAACCCCCCTTCCCCCCTCAGCTGATAACGTAATATGTGAACGACCCCTAAGTACAGCTTGATCATTGATTGTCTTCAACGGATGGGTGGAAAGCAAACGACAAAAATAATGACAAGTATGCAATAAATATTCGTAGCTCTTCGATCATTCGTTGCCATAGTGACTTTAACCTAGAAATCTGTTCAGAGGTTTGTTAGAGTTCATCTAATGTATGAAAATGATATTGCATAAAACATATTACTGCATAAAACATATTATAACAAAATTAACAGCATAAGCAATTCTATGGTGATGAAATTTATTTGACTACAATATAATTGAAGCAGTAAAACACAAACCGCCCCTCACCCCATCAGTAATTTTAGTGATTTGAATAATTTATGGGATATCAACGGCACTCTGAACGCGAAAACGTTCTAAGATGAATACTCCTTACTCCTTAAATTCATCGATATTCATCAAATGGTTAATTGTCCTTTGAACAGTGTAGTGAAATGTACAATTTGCAGCTGTTATCTCCTTTTAATTCATCGCTCCATACCAATAGGAGTAATCGTTCTTTCGCCTCAAATACATTAAACGAAAAGTGAATTAGTAAACTGGGTATGATAAACATGGGTTTAATTTGTGAGTGGTATTTTTTGCTTATATGTATTTTGAAAATTCCCAGTGCGTTAATTATCGCACTCTGCAGAGCTGTCAATAGAGCAGTATCCTGTATCGCTTAATTTTCTTTGAAGTTGCGATTTAGTTACATGACAAATGGGCGGCATATTCTTTGTTTGGCCTGTTTTGCTATCTATTCTTTTTATAAACTATTATTTCGACTAATAATTAGGAAAAAGGAAGTTTAACTTCGTAGAATGGCCGTGTTTGTTTTGAGATGCTAATTAGTAGTCATGAAAGGTACAGATTACCGATATGAACGTGCGTGCCGCGGGAGATAAATTGCCTTTGCACTGAACGTTCAGAAACTTTTGCTAGTACAAAAAGATGTTATTTACAAACAGAGCTCTCCGACCCTGTACAGGAGGTGCTTGTAAAATGTTACCTTGTTGAAGAGAATGGCTCGACCAGATCCTTTTACGGCGCCCCCTTTTTCAAGTGCTCTCTTGTGTCCGTATCCTTGACTCACAGGATATCTTGCCTCAATCGGCTTTTCTTTCTCTTCTAAAACAAAATGCATTATAATCGATTGGAGCTACCAGAGCGATGGTCCGCAGATGGTCTGATGACCCTGAAGAAGCCTGTTTCGGAAGCTTTCCATATGTTCAATGAATGAAGTAATTATAGATTTTGCAAATTCAGAAAAGACATGACTCTAAAACTTCATTACATTCGGTTCTATAGTTCCAATCATATTCAAGACCTGACACGCTTTTCAAACATGGTAAAACGCTGTCACGTGCCAAAACAAGTTTGCGCCACACCCACCCAGTTCAAAATAATAAAGTGTTCTATACCTGACCAAACGTTGTAAGCTTGCTGGTAGTAATGCATGTAGTAATGGTTATAATCGTACTCCTTTGCTTGTTCAGGAGGGAAGGTGTAACCGCCTGCTTGTGCCTCTTCAGTGGTTCCTTTAGTTGGTACCTGGATAAATAAGTGTTATCTTCAATGTGCACACATTGTACTAGGATTTAAGGATTTGAGCCCCAGATTTCGTTACCTTAGTAATCTTCCTAACCACATTAATTAATGAGAAGACAAGAAAGGTTGACTAACAATTTGCCATTCAGCTTTGTCCAGGTCTAAAGCAGGCGTATGGTCGGGTTCAGGCAGGCCAGTAGCTGGTATCTCAGGTCCTGGGGCGGCTGGGGTCGCACTACTTTCTTCTTCTTGTAACGGCAACTCCTCCAACACTTCACTCTGTATGGGGTGAGGTATGATGGAACTTTGCATGTGTCCCATCTGTTGGGCTAACCGTTCCTGCGCCTTAACTTCCTGAACAATCCTCTCAGCTTCGTGGGGTTGTATTTCAGGAGACATGGGCCTATCCTCGCGCTCTGTTGTGTCGTCAGCGGGTTTCATGAAGTTGTATGCAGTCGGTGCGGCTGAGTACGACTTTTGTTGCTCTTTTTCCGTCTTCTGCTTTGACTGAAGAATCACGTGTTTTAATTTTAATTCTGCTAATTACAAACAGTTGTACTCAACATACAAAATAATTGTCGGCTGAACATGTAAAATGTAAATACAGGGAGAACATTCTAGGAAGATAATCGAGTAACATTTATAATTATTTCGGTCCCTGAAACTGCACTAAGAGGAAATTTTAAAAAAGTTTTGCGACCATATTATTAAAAAAGTGTCGGATTCCAAATTGGAGAGATACGATAAGGAAATGGCTTATAAATCATAGCTGATTTCGTTTACTTGGGCCTCAAAGCGTCCACGTAATATCCGTTCAAATAAAATCCTATAAGGTAGTTGAATTAAGACAATGCTTTGAAACCTGAAGTTTAGAATATAAAAACCCTCAACAAACTATGAACACATTCTCATACCTTGATACTCATGAGAGCTTTGCGAACAACATCGTCATCAACATCAGTGGTTCCTTGAAGGAACCGGAGAGCTTCGCGTACAGCTCTAGGATCTATCTCCGGGGTTGGAGGTGACTTCGCTTTCAGATCTGATGGTTAGACCGTAAATAATAGAATGACATGGGCCCAACATGCAGATTCGTAGAATTCAGATAAATAATTTGTTGTATTCGTATTTCACTCATACTAACTGAAAACGTTCCAATGCAATGTTACCTTCAGGTTTTTCATCTTTGTTCCACTGAGCAGCAGTGATATGGGATGGAGGGTGATGACCATTGTGAAGAGGTGGAGGAAGAGATTTTCTGTTAGGATCATATGGACTGCCTTGTCGGTCATCCCGCTTGTACGGACTACTCCTTCTGTCTTCGTACGATCGGTCCCTGTCCCTGTCCCGATGGTGCTCCCGTCGTGATCCGTCTTTGTCGTGGTGATCTCTGCGACTGTCGTGGTGACGGTCTCTGTCCCTGTCTCGTTCTCTGTCCCTATCATGATCTCTATCACGGCTGTGTCTCTCACGATCACCTGAGCTGGGAGGATAAGGCAAGTGTGGAGGTCTGAACATTGGTGGTAACCCAGCTGGCATTAGAGCAGGATCAAAGGGTGGTCTGCCTGGAATAGGAACTGGAAAGCGAGATGGATCAAATGGGGGTCGTTGTCCAGGAGGAAATGGCCCAGGTCGCATGCCAGGTGGCATAGGAAATGCTGGCATTTTAGAAGGATCAAATCCTGGCGGCAGCTTTGTGGGATCAAATGGAGCCATTTTTGATGGGTCAAAAGGAGGCATTTTTGATGGATCAAAACCTGCAGGCATTTTCGAAGGATCGAATCCTGAAGGCATCTTCGATGGATCGAATCCCGGAGGCATTTTCGACGGATCAAATCCTGGAGGCATTTTCGAAGGATCAAATCCTGGAGGCATTTTCGAAGGATCGAATCCTGGAGGCATATTTTCATAACCTGGTGGCGCTTTGTCGAACCTAGACGGCCTCTTAGGATCGTAAGGTGGAGCATTGCTAGCGCTTTCTTCTGATGTGGCAGTGTGAGGAGAGATGAATCTAGCTGCCAGGGGGATTGGTAGTTGAGGTGGTGGAGTAGAAGTAGCCTGCTGCTGATGATTCATTATCTGTTGAGCTAAGGCACCTACAGGGAACGGTGCTGTTGGTGGTCCTGGTGCGGCAGTTTGTTGGCCTGATGGCATCCCATTAAGAGCCATTGAGAACGGAGGTGGCATACCCGGCGGCATAGTTGGTGGAGCCTGTGTGTACTGGACGGGACGACCACCAATTTGAGGTGCAGCAGCAAATTGGGAGGCTGGAGGAAACTCTTGGTTATCAGTTCGAGCAGATATCTGATCAATGGGGTCCAACTTGACAGGAGCACTGCAGTAGTTGGCAGGGGGTAGAGGAGTAGGGCCTGGGCCAGAGTAGGTTGGTTCATCACCCGCTGCTTCATTACCTCCCTCTTCAGTCTCCTCCTCCCCTTCACCTGTCTCCTCATCTGGCTGAGCGTTATCCTGAAATAAACACATTTTCAGTTCAGGTCGAAAATTTAACTGTCATTATACTTAGTATTATATGGCAGTTATCATGAAAACTAAATAAATATAATGGATGATTTTAAAATGAACAAAATTAGTAAAATATGATGTAACTACCGTTTGGGCGAGTTGTTCACTCTGGTCCATAGGGGTCGGTGCAGGCTCGGGTTCTGGCTCTGAAACTTGGTGGATTATTCTCGGAGCAGACTTTTTTACTTCCGCTTGCACTGGCCCCTCTTTCTCAGGAACGTCTGCAAACAGAAAATTTTTATTTACTTATAGTTTGTCACTTACTGTAATTTTTTTATATGCTTGATAAATACTGGGAATAATGAGTCATTACACTAAACAATTTAGACGATATTATTCCCTCACACTTTGAACAGTTTTCATTTCCAAAAAAGTTTCAATTTCAACAATTTCTGTTTCCAAGAAAACATCTTTTAAGCACACGGTACCTTGAGAATGAGAAGGTTCTTCTACAGTTTCTTTAGATCTCATGGAGTACCCATCTGGTGGAGTAACTGGACAAATCTCCAGACCCGGAGCTAGAGGCACGGGTTCTGGAGCTGATTTACTGATCTTTGAGGTTATAAAACCAATCTTGATAGAGGTCTTTGGTTTGGGGTTAACAAGCTCCTTGGCAAAGAACTGATTGACAAGCTTGTCAGGCTTAGGTTTAGTCATCAATCCTTTGCTGGGCAGCTTGCCGGTGGTGATGTTTGAAAAATCTTGGACTTTAACAGTTTTTCTCCCTTTTGACTCTTGGCCACCTGAATGTAATTAGGGTTTGATATTCAAGATTATAATCTTATAAGAAGAGAGGGAATAATAAAACGAAATGTAGAAAACTGGGCTTTATTCGATACCGGAAAGCTATAAACTTGCTGTACAGTGTACAGTCCTTTAACTAGTATTAATCTACTTCTTTTTATAGAAAAGGAAAATAAAGACTACCTCTTAATATGTCGTCACTGTCTAAACTTGGAACGGGAGCATTATCGAATTCTGCTTTGAGATCCTCTATATCCAAGGGAACTGACGAATCAAATAACTCTTTCACATTAGTTTTGGATTTTCCTGAACGGATAGATATAAATATTAGACTGGACAGAAAGTTGATATGAGATTTGTATGCTTAACTAGTCACTATTTAGCCGATGATGGATATCTAAGAATCTGTGGGCTATAAAAGTGCACAACATATCACACTATATCAACATTTAATGTAAACAGTCAACATCCGGACTTAAAGTAACAGTCTAACACTTACCTGCAGCTCTTTCTCGTTGTTCAAGACGTTTTTGAAATGTTCGAAATTTAAGCATGGCCTTAGCTTTTGTAAGTGCATTGTTTTCCTCCCTAGAATTTAAAATGTTACTTCTAGAGTTTAAGGCAGTTAAAAGTGAAAATATATTTAAATTTTATCCTTAATATTATTTATTAGATCCAAATGTATTTATTGCAAGGTCATTAAACTTGACAAGATTTCGGCTAAACTGCAAAAATCAAATCTAATTAATTTTGAAACATCAGTTTTGGACATTTATCATTCACTAAAAATATTCCTGAAGTCACATTAAATAGAATAAACATTTTCTTACCCTTCACTTTTACTGGATGAGCTCGATGAAGAAGATGTCGAGAGGTCTGAAGAAGACTCTGAAGAAACATCTTCGAAACTTTCGTTCTTGCTCCTTTTGTCTTTTTTGTGGCTACTACTTTTCTTATGCTTCTGTTTTCTCTTTTTCTTTGATTCTTTACGTGCCATACCTACAAAATACTGCAGAGACTTTAATTTTCATGTGCTAGTAAGCTTTTCATTGTATTCCTCAGTTTGCATTTAAAAACGAACAAATTTTGAAGAAAAAGTAAGTAAGTAAATAGAATACATATTTTGTAGACATCATCACACATGTCTACAAAATATCATCACACTATGTGAAAAAATATATAATATATATTTCCCCACCAACATTAATTATTTTATCAAATACAATATTTGAAAAAAATTTTTTTTGTTTCACTAAAAATTTGTTTCACTAATCGTCATGTTTCTCTTTCTTACTGACATAATTATAAGAAACACTTTAACATTTAACTCATTAAAAAACAACTCTGAATTTACGCCCCACAACGCTTTAATACAAATACAATCCCAATACTGTCTTATCTAGACCGCAACCAATGTCCATATGAAACTTTTATTAGGTTGTAATAGCGCACATTGCGCACACACTTTTGCCCGTCAAACCTATTTATAAATTAGTCAAAGAGTGACAACTATACTACACAATTCATAAGGCTTCCTTAAAAATATCAAATTGATTTGATTGTAATCTAGTTGTGTGTAATAAATGGCATAAAATTGAAATTATTGTTTATCTGAATTTTGTTCTGTTGGTCATTAAAATGGCATAAAAATGTAATTTTTGTTTAATTGAAATTTTTGTTTAACTAATAGCACAGTCTAGTGCCCTGGTAACGGAATTGGTCCACTGTTACCAAATCTTATAAAATCAAAACACAATAATATTAGCTTGAGATCATCACAAGTATTCTTTAAAATATGTTAATAAATTAAATTATTTACTATGTAAAATATACACAATCAACCTAGTTCAGGTTAATGAACTTCCTCTTTGCTTCCTCTTTGCTAAATAGTGATGAAATCACAGATAATCATTATGTCTACTTTTGTCCTCCAAATAATTATCTCCTTCAATTCTACTTATCACCTCATCAGACACATTCCAGTGATGATGATTACAATATATTCCATTTTAAAAACAGTCCTAAATATTCTAGACTTGTCTTACTATAATTAACACTAGAAGATTTGTTAACATCCACTGGTAGGAATATACCAATAAGGTATAACTCTCTCAGATATAAAAAGCTTTACGAAGATTCCTTAATTTAGAGCTTTTAATATGGGGGGGGGGGATCATGTTATTTTTTGTCCGTTTTTGTCCGTTAATTTTTGTCCGTTTTGAAAATATAGGTACCAAACGGACAAAAACGGACAAAAATTGTAACTTTTTATTTAAATTTTCTCCACAATTTGTTACAGGCTATCTGCAGAAATGGGTAGCCCGGTTAATGACCATGGTCCTTTCTCAAATTTTTAATCCTCAATTAGGTACTAAGAATAGTCTACACATTTTGTGGAGGAGGAGGAAGACTGAGGAGGAGAAAGAGGAGGATCAGGAGGACTTATGAAGAGGAGGAGGATGACTGAGGAGGAGGACTGATGAGGAGGAGGAGGAGAAGGACTGAGGAGGAGAAGGAGGACACAGGAGGAGGACCCAGGAGGAGGCTAGGAGGAGGAGTAGGACTAAGGAGGAGAAGGAGAACTGATGAGGATGAGGGTGACTGGGGGAGGACTGAGGAGGAGGAGGAGGACTGAGGAGGAGGAGGAAGAGGAGAAGGACTGGGGAGGAGATGGATGAGGAGGACTGGGAGAAGGAGGACCCAGGAGGATGAGGAGGAGGACCCAGGAGGAGGACCCAGGAAAAGGCCCCAGGAGGAGGAGGACTAATGAGGACTGATAAGGAGGACTGAGGAGGAGGACTGAGGAGGAGAAGGAGGAGGACTGACGATGAGAGGGAGGAGGAGAAGGACTAAGGAGGAGGAGGATCCAGGAGGAGGAGGACCCAGGAGGACTGAGGAGGAGGACAGAGGAGGAGAAGGAGGACTGATGAGGAGGATGAGGATGAGAAAGAGGGAACTGATGAGGATGAGGGTGTCTGGGGAGGACTGCGAAGGAGGAGGAGAAAGACTGAAGAGAAGGAGAAGGAGGAGGACCTAGGAGGAGGACCCAAGAGGGGGTCGGGGGAGGAGGAGGAGTAGGACTGAGGAGGAGGACTGAGCAGTACTTAGTACGAGACTCATTATGTCAACTCATTATGTCAATAAAATATCTGAGAGTCTAAAGGAGAGATTTAATGTACAAGTTGAAGATAAAAACTTACGACTAGCACGCATCTTCTGGAACCCTAAGCTTCATAAGAACCCTTACAAGGCGAGGTTCATTGCAGGTGCCCGTTTTTGCGTAACGAAACAACTGAACGTCCAAGTTAACTGTTGTCTGAAACTTTTGAGGAAATACTTCAAGAAATACTGCGAGGCAATCTACAACAACAGCGGTATAAACATGTTTTGGAGCATAGATTCCTCAAGTGAATTCCTTGAAGCTATCAAAAATAGCGATGTTTATAATATACAAGTATATGATTTTACTACTCTTTATACCAGATTAGACTTGATTGAAGTAGAGAATATGATTAATGAAGTTGTTGATTTAATATTTTCAGACCGTAATAGATATATTTGTATTTCTAAAAGAGACAGTAATACATGTTTCTTTTCCAATAAAACCTATGATTCTCATGCCTGCTTTAGTCAAGATGACCTAAAAGAGGCTGTTAAATTTATTATTTATAACACTTATGTCGTCTTCGGTGGGATTGTATTCATACAAACCAAGGGTATTCCTATGGGTGGAAATTCAAGTTCCCCTATAGCTGATCTCACTGTTGGCAAAAAGGAATTTAATTATATGAAACGTTTACTTCAGGAAAAGAAAATGGGATTAGCAAAGATATTATCCAATAATAAACGATATGTTGACGATTTATCTATTATTAACTACCTTTACTTTCATAAATTGATTAAAGATATTTATCCTAATTCATTGGAGATGGAGCGAGCTGGTTCCAATAATAAAATCATTAACTACCTTGATTTAAATATTAATATTTCCACAGAAGGACTAGAAATATCAGTGTATAACAAAACTGATGGTTTTAATTTTCATGTTGTATCCCTTACATTTCTTCACAGTAACATCCCAACCGAGGTTGGCTACAACGTTTTTTCAAGTCAAGTTCTTAGATATGGTAATGTTTGCACTAGATTGGATATCTTTACCTCCCATCTTCACAAGATATTCAAAATTCTAATTGATAGAGGATATAGCCGTGATAGACTGATTAAAGGTATTAAACGTTGTCTGAGGAAATATAATAACGTTTTCAGGAAGTTCGGTATTCTAGATGACCATAACATTATTAAAGAACTCCCCTGATATCTTTTGATTTTATTGAAACACGGGTACTAACTCTGCTAAACTGAAAAAATTCTGAAACTTAGATGAATAACTTGTGTACAACGTGCTAAACCGAAGTTCAGACTGACCAGTGAAAATGGGCGAGCGTACCAAGTGTCATTTTAATTAGATGTTTTAGTCAGTGATTTATTATTGAAGCTTGTAATTACAATAACTAATGCTCCTGTAAATACTTTAATTAATTGTTTGTTCCGTTATTCTTTTTCCTTCCTCTTTTTCTTGTCATCCCCTTTAGTTTTAAGATTCTTGCTATAAATGGCTACAGCTAACACTATTAAAGCTAAGTACCAAACAACAAGTGGGAGGTGGATCGTTAAATCGATTTAACACCGCAATTCCAGTCGCAAGCCTGGGACCACTACTAGCATTGTCACAACATCTACAAAGCTGCCATATAGCCTGACTGACAATTTTCTCAACTGACTGACAATGTTTCTTCTTTCCCCATTTAGAATACAAAGATTAGTACATTTTAGCTTATGATTAATATTATATTTTTACCTATAGTTTACCTAGATTAGAAGGAGGAGGACTGAAGAGAACTGGGGAGGAGGAGGACTGAATAGGAGGACGAGGAGGGGGACTGGGGGAGGACTGACTACTGAGGAGGAGGAGGACAGAGGAGGACTGGGGAGGAGGAGAACTAAGGAGAAGGATGAGGAAGAGGACTGAGGAGGAGGACTGCGGACTGAGGAGGAAGAGGAGGAGGATGAAGAGGAGGAGGACTGAGGAGGAGGACTGAGGAGGACTGAGGAGGGGAGGAGGAATAGGAGGACTGAGGAGGATGAGGAGGAGGACTGAGGAGGACTGAGGAGGATGCCTGAAGAGGATGACTGAGGAGGAGGACTGAGAGGGAGGACGAGGACGAGGACGAGGAAGACTGAGGAGAAGGAGGAGGATCAGGAGAAGGACTGAGGAAGAGAAGGAGGAAGATGAGGAGGAGGACCCAGGAGGAGGAGGACCCAGGAGGAGGAGGACCCAGGAGGAGGACCCAGGAGGAAAACCCAGGAGGAGAACCCAAGAGGAGGATTCAAGAGGAGGAGGAAGACTGAGGAGGATGACTGAGGAGGAAGAGGAGGAGGAGGAGAAAGAGGAGGAGGAAGAGGAGGAGGAAGAGGAGGAGGGGGAGGAAGAGGAAGAGGAGGAAGCATCTAAATGTTATTTCCATTTTTGTTATTTTTTGTCCGTTTTTGTCCGTTATTGTCCGTTTTTGTCCGCTTTATTTTTTGTCCGTTTTGAAAATATAGGTACCAAACGGACAAAAACGGACAAAAAACATGATCCCCCCCCCCCCCCCCCCCCCCCAATACTGCACTTTATCTTTGAAACAATATTCATACCCGATCTGCTGATATTGAAAATATCTGGGCCAAATATAACCACTGAATATTATGAAGGTTTCTATTAGATCCCCACGAATTCTTCTTTCAGCTAATGTAGTTAAATTCAGAATTTCCAACCTGCTGCTATATGGCAGTGTGCCAATACCCTCAATTAACCGGGTGACCCGGCGTTGGACAACTTTCAACCAAAATTAGTCGAAATCTCTATAATTTTATCTATATCTCAAAACAAATATCAAGTTCTACCCGGAATATCCAAGCTGTGTAGGTGTAGTATAAAGGATAATGTAAAATAAAGGACAAAAATCATAAGATTCACATGATGAAATAAGCTTAAAAGGGATGAACCCAACATGAGCAACCGTAAGAGCTTCCCCT